TTTTGATTAAGTTATCGGATCGGGCTGAAACTTTGGCATCTGGTTGTGACCTCTAGCTCTACCTTTGGGTGGACAATGAGCGTTCGGCGATGCCTAGTTTATTTTTGCTGTAAAAAAGACAGTGTAAATTTTCTTTTGTGACACCCTGTACTTGCCGCGAAACAGGGCTGCCCACTGTGACCCTATCAGTTGTATTTTGGATTTCGTAAACATTATCCTTCATAGTGCAATGAGGGCGTACCACTTCCTATCAAAATAAAGCCTGTTGTATCTTATCTTAAAGATACCATCGATATTCTGGGAATTTGCGAGTTCAAACAACTTCTTTCTTGCATTACGCGTTGCAAGCGAGAAGTCCTCATTTACTGAAACATTCCACGTTTTGATCAGAGCCTTTGAAAACAAAACCTTCTCTCTTTTTTTGCTGTCGCAAATTTTACAATGATTGGTCGACACTTCGATCGAGGAGATGCACCAAGTTGGTGCATACGAACGACTGCGTCATCCGCAATCGTTGGTTAAGGAACATTGGACAGAAGCGCGCATATTTTTTGCTTAGACTGAGCTCCCAAGACTCTAACGGTGAGTCACTAAGGCCATAGAAAAATTGTTGTTTCTTTGCGATCAACCTTAAGAAAATACCGAAAAGAATTTTCGTTGTGTTGGGACATATGTGTTAAAAAAAAAAATTTTACGGTCAAAAATATTTTTTAGAGCATTATTGACGGCGCAAAATTTATTTTAAATTCTGCGCGCAAAGTCTATGACAACATGGAATGGTCATACACTCTCTCCACCTCAACTTGATGGCCAAGACGATCAACCTCTCCTCGACGCGCGCGAAATGCCGGGAGGGAACACAAGTGGAAAGGAGGTGACTACTGCCTAAAACGTGCCTCACGCCATCAATATTGCTCTAAAAAATTATTTTTTTGCATAAAATTAATTTCTTGAAACGCGCGTCCAGAACAAAAGGTAACACTTTTTTTTCTTTTCAGTGACCCTTTAAAGCTTGTTGAGACGAGTACGCAGAGAAATGTGTTCCTTTTTAACTTGGCCAAAAGCTTGACGTCTAGTGTGGAGTTCATTCCAGCTTTTCAGACATTTCCCCTTTTCTTCTCTATTTTAAAGCCAATTAGAAACGACCGTTATTTTTTCTTCTATTTATTCTTGATTTGACTTCATTTCGGTAACAACAGTCAGCAGTTTTGTTTGGCCCTCCCGTAGAAGGTGTTGGTCACGTGTATCCGGTCCCGGATTTTCCTCAGTCGCTGCATGAAAGCGACTGTTTCCTTGTCAGTCAACAGTTTTACGTTGGAAAAACACGGGCAGATGATTGGAAGCAACTCCCGTGGGCATGGGAACACCAAAATAACATTGCCTGATTTCTTTGCAAGCAAAGAATCATCCTTACTAACCTGTGGGCAGAACAAGTGGAACATGTTAGCCGTTTGCATCCCTAGGTGGTTGGTTCCCACACCCATTGGACGTTTGAACGGTTGGTCGGGTCCTTTTAACTCGTGGTGCCGCTGACAATGTTGATGACGTCACTGGCCTATCGTACCACGGGGACAATATGACGACCATAACAGACGATACTTACGGAAACTGGGAGTGTTACCCGATAGGCGTTCCCTCGTATTAAAAGCGAAGCTCCTTAGGGTCTAGCCTTGTCCGGCGTCCGTGCTCACATCGATTGCATTGCCTCCGGGATTGGCCCACTTTAAAAACAAACAATGTACGCCTGCACGGGGGTTCGAACTCAGGATTGCTCGTTTGCTAGACAGACGTCTTAACCACTACGCTACACTCCGACGTTGCATGTAGCCGCTCAACGTCTATACAGGAGAGGGCCTTGCGGTCAGTTGCGTATATAATCGCATTAAACTTTGCATGCATTGGCTCAACGTTTATAGGCGAGAGGGTGCTGCGGTCAAACGCTCAACTGCGTATATAACCACGATCCATACCACACATTCTCTTTCCGACATGAACCGTTGACTTAACGCGTTCCCACGGCTTCTAGCGGATCCAAACTAATCCGCTAGAAGAACCACTGGCCCTGCATTTCACCGACCATAAAGCAGTAATAATGAAGTCGAAACGGCAGCCCGGAACTCACCACTACCTATGAGCAATAAAATCAGTATCATCAGCACCGCCAGAGCTTTGCCCCAATCAACCTCATTCACCCCGTGGAGATGCGTCCATTTTTCTAAAGGCCCCTTCTGCTGAAAAGAAAAACGGTTCCCTGTTTCGTGAGCCTCGCAGAAAGGGTCTCTCTCGAGTGGAGGAATTGAGGAAGAGTCTTTCCTGCAGCCTTTAAGAGGTTTTAAGGCAGACGGTCGCTAGCATTTGCAAATGTGTAAACCACCAGCCTTTAGTTGATTTGACCTCGATGGGACTTTACAAGTAGGCAGAATTTTTCCAAATTTAAAAAAAAGCTTAAAAGGCCACTGTGAAGGCATTTTTTTGAAATTTGGAGTTGTTATACGTATGGTGTGTGTAATAAGTGTTAATGACACTGATCAAATGTGTTCTTCTATGACCATTGCAATCGACTTGGAAGCTCTGAGCCCGAAAGCGATTGTGACGATCCTGTTTTTATTTCTTGCTCTCAACATGGCGGCACCCGGCAGCTGTGCCAAGGCCATCAAGAGGGATGGGGATGAAGCCTCTCGGAAAGTCGAGCCAAAATGAAGTTATTTTACCTATCTAAAAAAAGACCCAGCAAATAAAATAACTTTGCATGCTTGGCCGGTTGGCAGAGGCAAAGAGAGAAGGTTAAAGACACTTCCGGTTCCGTCAAAAAAGGGTAAAAGTGCACAGTGTTTCCCATCTACACCATTGATTCGGGCAGGATTTGGAAATATGGCTCGAAAATATATTTTTTTATTTTCAGCCGTTCTTAAAGGGACACTGACACCCCCCAAAATTAATTTTTTTACTTTTTGCCAGGCGATTTATTATGGAGTCAGGAGACTACCCAATCAATATTTTGCTATAGCGTCAGTGGCAGCGTCACATGTATTTTTAATAAAGTAAAAAAAAATGCAACTGCCGGAAACCGAAACTGGACTGGGGAGGAAGGACCAATAGAGGAGGAGAGAGGTGGCTGAAGTTAACGCATATGCAACTTTTTAGAAGCCCCAAAAAATGGGTATCATATTTCTTTTCTATTTTTAATATTGTGTGCGTGCCTTCGATGACCTACGACTTCGATTGTATTTGGTGGTTGTGTCTAAATTTTAGAAAACGGCCCGTGGCCACGGAGAAGAGGGTGGGCGCGACTCAAACCGGCCAGTTCTAGATCGGCGGTTTTCAGGCGGAAAGAAACCAAATTTCGAGCCGCAAATTCTGTTCTGGGTAGTATACAACTAAAAACCTTGGCGAGCATAAATACCCTGTCAGTGTCCGTTTCAGATTTTTAGGATTATCCCTTTCAGATTTTTAGGACTATCCTTAAGATAATTTCCAGTCGTGACAATAAAAAAAATTGATGCTGGGTTGTCAGTGGCCTGCTAAGCTGCTCATCCTCCATCTGCATAAAATCTGAGGGGAAAATTTTTTTGCTCGTTACGTCTTCATTTGTTATTTTTGTTTGGCTTAATATGTAAGCCAAAAACTTGGTAGCAAGCTTTTTTCTGCCATACTCTACGGGGAATTCATTTAGAACAATCATACAGCAAGTAAGGTTTTTCCGCTAAATTTCGTGGGGAAGTTACACTTGGAACATTTTGCGGGAAATTCTCGCCCATCCAAAGTAAAAAAAGAGTGGAAAAGTAGTCAGCCTCGCCCATATCGCTTAAAGAAGCTTGCGATTATGTTCGAACAGAAAAAGTGCAAACATAAAATGTAAAAAAAAAAAAATAAGCATTACTCTTAACTGAAGTTTGCCGAACAAATTCTTACCACCTTATCTTCACGTTAAAAAAAAACACTACGCAGAAAGAAAAAAAAAATTTCTGCAAAAGAAGTTGATTTTGAAAAATGTTGTATATATACCCATCAACATCCAGAGAGTATTCCCAGAAAGTTTAATTAGTTTACACTCTATTGTTAATTTTTTTTTATAAATTTTTTTCGGTCTACCCATGCTAAAGAAAAGGTAGACTTTAGGGCATTTTGAACGCGCTTTTCTCCGTTCCACTTTTTGACATAAATTTCACTTTAGGTAATCTATCGTTTTGTTATTACATAACTTGGATTCATTTTATGATTTTTTTGGGGGTGAAATTTTAAGGGAAAGATAGCTATGAGCTTGTGTTTTTTTATTTTTGTCATTTTTCATGCTCAAGAACTAAAATTTTGGTCAAAGGATGGAAATCTAAAAAAACAGTATTTGTGTTTGTGTCTTTTTTGTCATGAAAGACGGTATAATATAGAATAGAAAACTGTCCTAAAGCAATATAACACGTGAAAGCGACAAATTTATAAGTAATTTCAAAATGATAGTTTTTCTATGCAGACCTCCCCCCCACTTTCATCTTTGAACATTTGCAATTTTTTTGTACTTTACCCAGGTTAACAAAATTTGGAACAAATGTTCTTAACATCAACGGAAACAAGCCCTGTAAATGTAAATTAAATCAGACAAGTGGTTCAGACATTTGCTTTTTTGGGTAGTCTTCCCCCTTAAGGACGTGGTTTGTCCCCAAAATCAAATTCTTTTTGTGTCGCCGTACGTTCTGATGGCAGCGAGTGTCTGTTTCTGACTTGGCCAGTACAACGCAGCTCTCTCGTCGCACCGTGAGGTACTTTCACGTGTGTGATAGTTTTCTTCTTTTTTTAGTTTCTCGGAGGCCAAACAAGTGGGGGGTGTCACTTAGCCATCGTTGTGGTACTGTCCTAGTGGAGTGGCGACATATTCGAGTGGCAGTTGAGACCCTTGCTTTCAGTCTTGGACAGAGCAAGGGCGCATTACGAGGTGCTTTGGCCGAGACGCCCAAGTGCCGTGGAAGGAGCCAAGTGAGCTTGTCTGAGGTGGCTGTGTCTTGCAGGTCCGGTGACTCCACGGCCCGTATTTGGAACATGAACGACAACAGCCAGAGCCCCAACCAGCTGGTGCTGCGCCACTGCATCCAGAAGGGGGGCACCGAAGTTCCCAGCAACAAGGACGTCACTTCCCTCGACTGGAATGTGAGCAATGCAGCGCCATGACCGATCGGGCGGTGTCAAACGCCCTTTCTCTCGCAGTCCGACGGGACGTTGCTGGCTACGGGGTCGTACGACGGATTCGCCCGGATATGGACGACAGACGGTGAGCATTCCCTTTACCCATTCGCTACAGAGGACTGTTTAAAGGGCATAAAAGGGTGACAGAGCGCAGGATTAGAAAGGTTGTGGTTGTCTCGAAGGACGAAACATTTGCGACGGATGGGGGAAGGGTCACTAAACTGTACCTAGACAGGAAGGAATCGTGTGCCACATTTGTGCCGTGATAAGGAACAACAACTTAGAGGGGTCGTGAAACATTTTTAGAAAATTTTGCGCTATGTGCTCATTTGGATTACCGGTCCTCTATCATGTAACCCACGCGCATTCGCTTCATCGTCCGGATTCATTTATTAGCGTGTAACAACAATTTCGGTTCCCCGAAGAGCTTCCTATTAAGTTCGACGATTACGCCGCATCAAGACAGGAAAGTTTTGTTTTTTGACGCCACGCGTACGAGTCAAAGGCGGCCTCCCCGAGCTTCAGCGTCACTTAATCGAGCGCAGCCGACTTTTTGGCTTTGTGCCTCCTGCGGATACTCTTCTCCAACGAGTGTGAGACCGGTCACCACCCGAAGACAACACCGACGGCAAAAACGGGGCGAGCACTTTGCAGCGAGGTGCGTGTGGTTCGACGAAACGTGCCCGTTTCGTGTCCAGGCCAAGGCTTCCCCGTTAGAAAGTGATTGTAAGACACGTAACCCTGGCTCCTACCGACTTCGCCCGGGCCTTCGCGGTCGACGGCTCGAAGCCAGGCCGCTCTTCGCCGTAGATCATCCGTCAACTTAGGAAGCCGAATGTCGTTTGCTCTATCATACCTTGTGCTGCACTGTCTCGCAACGCACACGGCCAGCATGGCGAGTTGCTGGAGCACGTACGCAACACACTCCAAGGACGCTAAACACGCACCACAATTTAAATCTTCTGCGCTAGGCATGTGCAAATATTAAAGTTTTTCGTATATTCGATCGAATAGTTTAGTATTCAGTATTTGCTTCGATCTAGATGCTTATATTAAAATTCTTTTGAAGTATTCGGTCCCGAAGAACTTTGTACGTAGGGCTACTTCTGATAATTTGGTTTAGGTATCGCGGTGCCTTCGAGATGTCGCGTCTAGTGCTTTCTCAGCGAAAGCCGCAAACCATCGGCAACGGGGGAAAAAAAGAAAAAGGTCGTGCCTTTGACGTCCGTGATCGAGAATGAAACGGAACTGGCCGAACCGAACATGAAAATTTCTTCTGGTGGGCAGCACATGCTCGGCGTACTTGTGTACTGTTACTGCTATGTTTCCAATTGCTGAATGCAAGTGTTGCAGCCACTGTAAATGACGAAAGTGATGGCATTGTGTTTCGCAACCCAATTTGGAGCTATTTCTTAAAAATCCCACTGGGCACTAATGTTCTATGCGTGAAGTGCGAGGCAATCCTCAAGACTCCAATGGGTGCAACGACTACCTTAGTGTCCCGTCTAAAGAGGCACCCGGATGTGCATCAGGGTGCCTCTTTGACATGAAAGAGCGTCAAGCACGTGTAAATACCGTCAAGCTCAAGAGTGCGAGTACGCAGAGTCAGCCTTCAAGCTCAAGATGAAACCAATGGCACCAAGAGCGAAGCACACAACGAAGATGATTGCTAAGTTCATTGCTCGTGAAACGCGCCCATACAGCATCTTCGAAAAGGACGGTTTTGTCAACATGGCGGTATTTGCCATGCCAGACTACAGCGTGCCGTCGTGGGCGACCTTTTCACGAGCAGTTATCTTGAACTTCTAAGGATGGAAGAGAAAATTGCGGGAGATTTTCATCAGGGGTGCGGATTGCTACTTCATCACAACAGATGGCTGAACATAGGCACAAGTTTTGAGCAGTGCTCCAGGCGAGCAAAATAGAATAATTGTGGCTTGCATTTCCAATGTGCGTCATTACGCTTCCCCACTACAGTTTTTTAATACTCCGTTTCGTTTCAAGTGCCAGCGTAGCAGAGGCTACATGAGCAAGCTCTGAGCTTTCAGTCTCCCTGCCAAGCACGCACGCTCGTGCAGTGCGAACATGCTTTTGCAAGTAGCTTCGCTATAATAAAAGTGAAACATACATGCTCACTTACGCTATAAAAGAAAGCAATACAAATAAGGAAGCTGAAAGGAATGTTTGATGATACGCCAAGGTCACAAGCTGCATAATTTTTTTTTAGATTTTTGTTATTGTGGATTTACAGATGCTGACATATGCTTGTATGCGGACGTGGTACGTGCATAATTGGACATTACAGTGCCGCTTTTATGGTCGTATCGCGTGGATGGCGCAGCCAGGATAACATGGTCGCATCTTGCGGACATGCACGCGCCCCCAGCCCAAGAGCAACGGGCCTATTGCGCACCAACGACAGCTACGTTTGCGTGACTGTCCACGTGATGGACAAGGACATCGTACAGCATGTGCGTGCTTTGGCATGCACGGAAATGATCAATTCCCACACGGCCGATATCCTGGCATGGTTTATCGAGAGCGTCATCGAGGAGCGGGAGTTCCGGGCACCAGGTGGCTACACCGTAACCGATAACGAAAAGAACATCACATCTGCGGCAGCGATTTTGCCCTGGTGTGGTGTGCAGTGTTTTGGACACACACTCCAATTGTGTGTCAGCTTGTAAATAAAAGAAGTAGCGGGGTTTTAGGAGCACTTTGCCAAAGCCAGAGCCATTATGGGCCTTTACAAGAGAAGCACAAAGGCTCGTGGATGCCTTAAGGAGATCCAAAAAAACGTGCAACTAGATCCACTTGAAGTTGTGCAGGATGTGCTAACACACTGGAATAGTGAGCCCGCCACAATGGCTCATGAAACTTGGTGTGCCTGTCACGGTTGAGCTTTCTGAATGTCAGACTGCTGAAAACCTGAATTCAAGTGAGTGAAAGCTCATGTGTGGAGCAGTGAAGGTCCTGCAGCCCCTTGAGCAAGCAACAACTGATTTGTCAGGGGACACCTACCCGACAGTGCTGCAGTGCACCAAGCTTGTCCCGACTCAACGTTCTGCTGATAAAGCAGCACCACTTGCATCGAGTCTTCTACAAAGCCTTAGGACAAAATTCCAGCCCTGGCCATGTTGGTGGACCCTAGATTCAATGACGTTTGTTACAGCGGAGAAAGTGAAAAAAAAAAAAAAAAAAAACTCTCCTGTTGAAAGCTGTAGAAGAGAGCATGTCAAAGAATGAGCTCGATGATGCCACGGCTGGAACGAGCACAGGCTTGGGGACTTGTCGGAGGACTTCTTGTAGGATGTCTTTCCTAACCTAAGCTCTGCCACCAAGTCGCAGACGAGGCTGCCGAGTTCTAGAAAATCCCGTTCCTAGCACGCGCTGAAGACTCTCTGGTCTGGTGGATGTCAAAAGGGAAGCATTGCTTGTGGGTGTCTCATTCCCAGCAACCCGGACGACGAGTGAAAGGTTACTTTTAAGTGTGGGAGGCGTTGTGAGCTGCAGGAGGGAACTTCTCCCTGATCATGTGCAGCAGCTTGTGTTCCTGCATGAGAACCCCTGACTCTTCCTGTGCAGGGAGGTTTATTGACTTTTGTGTGACTGTGTTTAGATTAAATGGTCGATAAATTATTATGGTGTTCTCAATTTCCAATAACGTTTTCCCGCAACTATACAAATTATTCAAAGAAAAGTAATATTCGCTTCAAACTTAAAAACCACTATTCGGACATGCCTATTCCACGCGCAGAAAATGTGCAACAACGAGCAGACGACAGAAGTCGACGTTGCTATGGTTGCCGGACGACGAAAACCTCGGATGTGCTTGAAAACGAAACTTGCCAGCGATCACGTGATATAGTACCACCGAATTCGTTTTAGAACGCCAGTAAATTCCTCTCTATTTTCATAATTCCTAACCATTTTCATAGCTTCCTTTTTATAATTACAACACAAACTAATGTACAGTAGATCCTCAACCTCATACAGGTATTTTTGTGATCATTTGTTGCTCAAGCTGGCCAACAGTGTCGCATAATCGTTTCAGGTACCCCAAAAATAATGATTTTCAGACACGGTTTATAAAATGTGGAAGCAATATTTCGCTGCGACATTTGGGATGCAAGTATAAACCACATGTAAGCGATTTGGTGAGCGACGAGACAAGTGACAATGACCCGCTTCGCTGTCTCTTGGTCTGAAAGTGACGGGAGCAAGCAACCAAGGCATTGAGCGACGTTTTCTAGAAATCCAAAAACCGAGCGACGCGATCAGTGATAGCGAAGAATCCCCGTCGATCATCGTTGACTCTGGTCGTCGTCGCTCGTCTCATTGCTTGCTACATCGCTTACATGCGGTTCAACCTTTAGGATCTTCGAGGTCTCAACAATCTTATAAAATTAAGTCGGCATATCTATTTTCTTTGCACGACCCCCTTAAGGAAGGTTGGGAAAGAAGTTTGCGATGCAACGACGGGTTATGGATTCTTTGCCAGATGTGAACCGCTTGCCCGGGAACCAAACGTTTGCTTCACTTTGGGGGTCGTCGATCGGGAAGTAATGCGCTCGAGCGGGTGTGGTTTGAATGCCAAATTGTTGGGTGTCAGAACATTGCTGGTATTGCCTGGACAATCGGGCCGGGGCACTGCCTGCATGTTTCCTTTGTGCGTAAACAACTCTATGTAGTGTTAGCTCATTTGAGGAAACCCGTACGTGGGTGTTGCGTTTGCCGGTGAATCGTTTGTGTGCTTACGTCCCGGTGTTGCCAGGTCGCCTGGCCAGCACACTGGGCCAGCACAAGGGTCCCATCTTTGCGCTCAAGTGGAACCGGAAAGGGAACTACATCCTGAGTGCAGGCGTGGACAAGGTAAGTTCCCGACGGAGGCGCTTGCAGGGCATCTCTGCGGGCATTGCTGCACTGACACGAAGGAAACCCCATCTTGAGACATTGTGCCATTGACTGACGTTCCACAAATTAAAGTGGATGGAGACTGGTCCAGTTTGTGGAGTTTGATCAAAAGGCAACAACACACTCTTGCGATTAATGCCTCAGATAAAGCTGCAAGTTCTTTCCGATTGCCTCGAAAAGTGGAATTCCAAATGAGGTGGGAACGGCATGGAGGAGCGTTTTCTCTTGGCCTCGGTTGCGAGAAAAATATCGAGACTATGTACAATGTTTTACCGATGGGGCCAGAAGCTGGTCTTTTGTAAGTTCTGCAGTACATTCGGCACACTTTGGTAGAGCGAGAGGTATCGACAGTGGTGCAAGTATTTTCGCTGCTGAGCTTTACACTATGCTCATGCCACTTGAACACCTCTTAGAAGACCGTCTGAGGAAAGCTATTTTGATTGTAGATTCCCAGAGTGTTTTACTTGCTGTATGTTTCTTACCTTTCAGTAAAATTTTGGATTTTCTTAAAATAACAGGCTATATGCACCTGTTATAACTCTTCTTTTTTACCATGTTTTTGTATCATTGCAGATAATTGCCTACTGATTTTAACTTTCATTCTTACCGGAAATTAATGTGCATATCTTTTACACTATCCATGTTCATACTTTTATGACATCACCAGCTACTATAGCTCTGTCTTGTCCTTAATTCTTTTCTTGTAATAGTTCCTTGCAGTGTTGCGGAGTTGCCACTTTGGAGTTGGAATGATTCCGGAATCATTCCGCATTTTCGCGACCCCGGAATGGAATGGGAATGGAATGGCGGCAACGTTGAGGAGAATGGAATGGGAATGGAATTAGGTGCCTTTTGCCTGGAATGGAATGGGAATGGAATGGTCCCGGTTCTTTATTTTATTTTATAATTTTTTTTTGGAGGAAGGGGGGGGGGGGGGGGGTACATTTAGCTAAACCGAGCAAGTCAGCGAGTCAGTTGCTCAGAAATAAAATGAGCAGCGGGAAACTGCTAGCCCATGTGGAGCCCTAACATACTGTACGCAAAGAAATGCAATACTAAAAACAAGCGTCAAAGCAAAGAGCAGAGAAGGGAGGGGGAGGTGGCGGTGGCGCCTTTCTCGGACGCGCAGACGACGGGCTTCACATGTGTTACACGAGGGCGAAACAAGAAACCAAGCACCGAGCAAAAGAAACATGGGAAGCAGCAAAGGATGAAACCGCCATGCACGGCTCTTCATCGTTCTTTTTAATTGTCTTGCATTTTTTTTTTTTTTTTTCTACGGCATGGAGCGTGCATGCGCGTGCAGACTGAGATCTGGGAGCGGGAGCCAACCCGTAACTCGCAGAGCTCTGATAACTCGTTGACTCGCATGTTGCCGAAAGATGATCAGTTATTGTTTTCTTATAGTTCGAGGAGCGTTGTTTAGCAGCTGGCCAACCCTGCTGCCTTCCACGTTCATACGCGCGCATTCCTTTGCAGTGCAAAATGTGGGTTTGCTTCGGCATTATAACAAAGTGAGATTCACTTCTCTCTTCTCCTCTTGCACTTTGCTCCGACACCTTTTTTTTTTTTTCTATACTGCATTTTTACGTGTAAGTCTGCCTTTTACTTGGTCTTTGTTCCAATGCTTGTTTTCTGTGTTAAATGTTTTACATTAAAATGGGTTAGGGTTACAAGCAAGCTAGATGATGCCAGCTCATTTCCTTTGACTTTAGTCTCTGCATACCTTGTTTCACCTTGCAATGGACCTCTTTGGACGCTACGAGTCACCCCAGGCAATCCAGCACCGTGAACTTAGTAAAATTAGTGCTTTTTTTAAGGCATTTAGCTTTTTCTTTTTTTTTTGCAATTGTCTATGCATTGATAATGTCAGCTTTATGCTGCTTATGCCGGCAAACAGAATGTAGCTGTCAATAGAGCACTATACAGCTCCTACGGAGCAGAGTAGCGCAATCCTTTGAACCCCGTGTTTTGCCGACAACATGGCCGACAGAGCGGCTCGGCGCTAGTCACGTGGTACTCGGGGTTCCAGGAGGCGGCCCGCCCTATGGGAGAATACATGGAGATCGACACAACACGGCTGATTAAAAAATAAACGGCGAGTTCACACTTTTTAAAACTAGTCTGTCGTGAAGTTAGTAAAGCACTAAACACTTTATCAAAGTTTTAATAATACCGGGTGCGTGTGCAAATTTTGAGAAGGCGATTTCCAAGGCAATGGCGTTTGAAGCAGACGATTTTTGGTTGCAGCGGAGATGGGCTTGTCCAACTGCGGTCAGAAATGCATGGAGAACGTGAGACAATCGCTGTTTCTTCAGTATTGTAGGAATGTACGGAATGGCAATCGTTTTTGACATAATAATGGAACATTTTAGAATAATTTGCGCTAAGTTTTGTGCCCCGCAAGGACCTGACTTTTTTTTTAAAAGTTGTCCGAGCGGCATCATGCAGCAGACGACACGCGACGTCACACCATTCACGTCACGTGAATGGTGTGACGTCGCCGTGTCGTCTGCTGCATGATGCCGCTCGGACAACTTTTAAAAAAAAAGTCAGGTCCTTGCGGGGCACAAAACTTAGCGCAAATTATTCTAAAATGTTCCATTATTATGTCAAAAACGATTGCCATTCCGTACATTCCTACAATACTGAAGAAACAGCGATTGTCTCACTTTCTCCATGCATTTCTGACCGCAGTTGGAACCTCCGGGCGTTCGCCGCTAGTCGCCAAGAGGCGGCGTTCTAGATTGCGCTACTCTGCTCTGAAGGAGCTATATAGTGCTCTAGCTGTCAAGTGCCAATTTTTACGCTTAGGAATTAGAGGAATGGAATGGAACGATTCAGCCATTCCAAGAGTGGGAATGGGCCCAGTGTCCCCATTCCTAGAAGTTGAAAGGAATTGAATTATCGAAAACTCCAATTCCCGGAATGGAATTGGAATGGAATGGGGGTGCCCATTCCGCAACACTGGTTCCCACTACCTTCATAAAATTTAACCAATGAAATGTAGTTAACAGCTTGAAGATTTGAAACATTACTAGTGCTATTGGTGTTCTTAGGCACGTTGTGGATTATATACTTTGACAAAAACGTCAAATCTTGAATGTGGGAAAAGTAATACGGCAATTGGTGTTTGAAAACTCTGTCTGACGGCGCTCCCTGGTGTAAGGTGCGGAAGGAGCGTCAGCGTAGGTATTTGCTTAGATTTTATTAGTGAAATCGGCCACCTATTAGTGTAATTTCGGGTTTCCTAGCCTATAGATTGAGACAATCTCAGAATTCACTTGCGTGCCCTTTTAAGACTCTATGCTTTTTTTTCTTTTCTCATATTATAATTTTAACTTGACAGAACAGATTTCTGTCAGATACATTCGTGTTTTAGACTAAACTAATTTAAGGCAAGACACTGGTTCTAAAATCGACTTTTCTGTTTATTAATGGATTATAATGAAAACCAGTGTGTATATGTGTTTCGGCTTCCTCTTTTCAAATATTCAATTAGTTCTGCAATATCTCAATTACTTTTTGAGTTACGAAGAAAATAATGAAACCTAATTAGGTCATTTCTTACGACTCATTAAGGAACTTTCTAATACAAATTTTTTTGCTTAAGTGATATGGATTTGTAGCTAAAGACCTGTCATGCAAGATGATGCTATTTATATTTTTGTAAAAATAGATCATTGTATAAAACTAGTCTAATTAGGTCAAGTACACTATTTACAAAGCCTAACGAGGTTACATTATCACTAATAATAAAATTTCGGGCCCATACTGTCATACAAAAATAGCATCACCCTGCAGTTCACTTCTTTCTGAATTCAACGGTATAAAGTTTATAGAAATCCTGGAAGAATAATCTCATGAAAACAACCGTAAGGCTAGGCATGTAGACGAAAAATGCGAAGCTGAGAAAATTGCAGTTGAAGTTTTGACACTCATTGCATAAAATTTAGTAAGGGACCCCATGCAATAATGTTCAGCAATATGAAGCATAGTTCTATCGGAACAAATTGAGATGAAAAATTCTGCAATCCGTTCACAAGAACCTTTAAAAAATAATATAAAACTGAGAAATAATGTCTGCAATGTAAAATCAAGTTCTAAAAGTATGAGTAGACTCTATAAGGGACAACGGGAGGAGGCACCAAGGGTTGCACGCTCCGAAAGCAGATTTTGTTTGGCCCTGAAAAGGGCCTTTGTTCATGTAGCACTTGAAAGGGGAGCCCCTCACAGCCGTCCAGGACTGTAGTCCCCAGCTGTTCCAGTTTGGTGTTGCCTGGAGAACCTCTGCTTTGCACTGCTGCTGCTCTGGTGGGCAGCGTTGGCCTTACGCAAACGCAGATTGTCCTTCTCCATGCTTGGAGAGCTTTCATGTCCACTACAATGAACTGTGTCCCAGCGTCGCGCGTCTGGCCTCCTGTGGTGACGCCGAGAAGGTCGAATTTGCGCTGGGTCGCCGACTTTTCCGATAGCGCCCGCTTGCATTCGTCCGATCGTGCGACTCGTTGCGCCTGCTCGGCCGTGGAGTAGTATGCGGTGTCGGCACGAACCGCGCTCGCAAAGCTCGACAAACTGCCGCTGCTGCATGGAGTCGCGATGTCTCCGGCTGATGTTTCCGGAAGATCCAAGGCATCCGGCGGTGCCGATCGCGGTGGCGCACTTGCAGCAGACAGCTTCGGCTTTTTGTTCCACGGTCGCTTCCTCTTCCTTCCGAACGCTTGCCGCGTGCTCGATTTCAACCGAGCGTCGTCCGGCATCTCGAGAACTCGAAGCGAAACAAAACAAAACACGCGCGACTTCGTAGGAAAACAAACCAACAATGTTCAACGCAAGCGCGCAAACGGGAACTAAAACGTGCGCTCGACCACGGAGGAAACAAAGCAGACAGGCCTAAGGAGACGGGCGGAGACGGGCCCAGGAGCAGACGACGCACCTCTCGCCAGCGCGGGAACGGAAAGGAGGAAAGGAGAAAAAGAGCGGAGGGGCGCGTTTAGGCCAATAGCAGGGGCGCTAGGCGCCGCGCGTGCTCTGACGTACGGGCACCTTGCTAGCCGGCCAATGAGCGATCGCAATTGGGGCCTTCGAAACCCGCGGAATGCGGACGTTCCCCGATGTTGTCGCGATAACGAATGGCATGGGGACGTGGGGAAAATAAGCGGCTTTCCAACAAGACCAAGATGGCCGCGATCCGACGAGCGATCGCGAAACGCGCGGGGCGCGAAGTTCCACTTGTTTTCATTGAACTCGCTGTGCCAGGGCTCTGCGGGGACATCGTAAATATCATTTTTTTCATGCTTAGACATTGAATTCGACATTGAAATTTTGCAGGCAGGTACCTTAGACTACAATTAATCCAAATAGGTGAATTTTGAAAAACGCGAAATTTCGCGTTTTTTGAACATTTTAAGACCCGCGTCTCCCCTTAAATTATGGTAGAAGCTATGATCCTGCACTTTTATCTATATTGTGAATAATGAAAATGGCTCAAAATGGTTCTACTGTCACACCCTATAGCCGACTTGGTTTTTAGCCTAGTCAGTTATATCAAAATAGCGGCCACAGCGAAGAGATCAGGATTTCCCATTCCCGTTTGCACTTTTTCTGTATATTTGTGTCTGTTTTTAGGGAAGGAATTTGAATGGCTCCCGCGGACGTAACGAAGAGAAATTTTGTGATAATTTAAAAAAACAATCGGATTGGGAAAGTTGGCCAAGTCGCAGCTCTTTTTGCAAATGGGGCCCACAAACCGCAATCTGACGAAACACAAACTTGGGCGCAAACTCAGTGTTGTGAGCGCTTCTTTGTTTTCTTCATGTTTTGTGTCGGCATTGCTAGTTGGTGTGGTCGCTCTCTGCGTGAAAGTTCAGCTTCGCTCATCCACCAATTTGTCGAATGATTGCCACTCAACAGTGGCAAGTCCCAGCACCTTGATGGGGAAGACAAAGGCGATCTCCTTGAAAGAACTGCTATCCTCGACGAAGTGCTCATAATTGTAAAGAATGCCTTCCTCCGCCGGTGTGGCCGTCGCAGCTGTCCTTACGTAGCTCACGAGGTCTTCTCTCGGCAGGAGCTTCTCGCAGTTGGCAAGAGGCAGCTCTGATCTAGCAGAGATTGCATGCAGGGAAGCCTCGACCGCTTTCTGCAGGCACAATAAACATGTGCCCAAGATAACCTGTGTTACCTTTCTTTTTTTTTCTGCACGTTACTTTTTTGGAGTTAGATATAATGAGGAGGCAGATATAGCGAAGTGATTTCCGATTTCTGTTGACTTTGTTATAACCGGTCTCGTCAGTATCGTATTTGTGGATTATTTTTTCTCAAGTTGGTGAATTGGCGATGTTATGGGTGAAGTTTAAAGATTTTGGCATTGAATGCAGAAGTCCACTAAATTGCATATTTAACTGAGGCAAACTCCCATACACACCAAATTTGTGATAAAGAATGAGTTGAATTTCACCAAAAATAAACTCCAGAACATTTAGTATAATGTTGGCAATCTCGATAGAGGTGTCGTCTTCCCTAAACCATGCTGCAAAGCAAGCTTTTGCGTTACAGCCCAGAAATCAAAATGAGCTGAACCCGCTTGTAGCAGAACCTGCTTTTAACTGCGGAAGGAGATTTCTCGGCTCCAGAATCTGCACGCTGGCAAGGAAAGCCGAGAGCGCCGTACTGACTGTTGGAATGTGTCCGGTTGCCTTTAAGTAGACTAAAATCAGACCCCTGGGAAGCTCCAGCAGCCGGGAGTTTTGGACATCGCAAGGACAGCGACACTGGCGTTGGCTCATACTTTTTGGCGCAATTTCTAGAACCGACAGCCAGGATTGGGACGTAGTCCATGTCAGGACCACTTTCGAGGCTGTCTCCTACCAGTCTGTTTTAGCGTCCATACTGCCCGTGCATTGAAAGTGCTTCCCAAGTGGCAACAGACGGCACGAATGTTGCCATCTCGACGGTTGGGCGTTGCGGCAAAAGAGCAAGCCCGAGGGTCCTCTGGTCGGGGCATCTGGCCGGACCCGGAGTGGGAGGGACCACTTTTGAAGAGGCAGCGTTTTCTCCCTCCTCCAGACGACCATCATTTGGGACGCCAGCACGGGCCAGTGCACGCAGCAGTTTGCCTTCCACACGGCGCCAGCCCTGGACGTGGACTGGCAGAGCAACACGAGCTTTGCCTCCTGCTCCACGGACCAGTGCATCCACGTCTGCAAGCTGGGCTCGGACAAGCCGGTCAAGACCTTCACAGGACACACGGTATGCCCACGGCCGGCTGCTTGCTAGGCGACCGGATTGAGCTCCTCAGTTAGAAAAAAAAAAACTTCTCGGACGTGGGCACCTAAAAGAATTGAGCCTTTCTTTCGATTATGGAGCATCTTAATCGCCAATTGAGACTGCGCCACAGCTCGGCCCGTTGCCGCTTGCAGAGTGGAGAAGAGAAAAACTTGGGGAAAGTGGAGCCCTCGGTAGCGTGGACCGAGCCTAGTTTTGCCCCTCTCTCTCGCACCGATTTTCGGGCTCGTCTTCTTCATTTGATAGCGATGCCTGCTGGTTAAAGGGACAATGAAGACGATTTTATTTAATTTTTCTAAATGATGTTTTTATGCTTCTTGGGAACATAGCATGCTGCCTAACTTTTTGTAGACATTTGTGACGCATATTTCTGTGCCTACGAAAGAAGTAAAGAAACCGAAACTGAACAATCTCCATTCTCGTTTCTGGGTCTCCGAAAACGGAGGTGACGTAGGGAGTGACGTCGAGTCTGAATAGTCGGTATCGGTAGTATTTAGGAGATTGAGACTCTGGTTACCGCGGTGGGTTATAGCGGCGCGGTGGCACGATCATTTCTTCGAATCTGTCAACATGGACGGCAATGCCGCTCTCGCGAGAGAGTTTGAGCTTCGTTCAGTGACCCAGCACAAACGGAACGGGAGTATGTGTGTGGTGGCCTCCGCCATCACCCGACAGAGACCGCCCAGCCGGTAAAGAGCGGCCCGCATGCCGAAGGACGGGGACGCGGGGGAGATGCTTAGGGGAACGCGGCAGTGATCCGGCTTTTCCCAGAACTGGTTCTTCCGCGGGGGCACTCCCCAAGAAGGAGAAAATAAAGAGCACCATTTTTGGTTTTCACCAAAGTCTGACGTACTCTTTTCGTCGTCAAAGAACGCAAACAGCAACCCAGACGTGAAAACTAGCGTCGTTCGAGCGAATACTGGTCTTCAGTCGACAGTTAGAACAGTCATCTACAGCCACAAATTTGGCATGACTACCATTTTGCAGAATCCTTCGAGTACCATGTTCTTTTTTTTTTTATTTTATTTTGTTTGCCCATAGTTGCTCGTTGGCCATTTCGCGTCCAGCGTAGCAAAGAAAAAAAGACAACAGTTATGCTGCTTTATTTAGGGTTTAGTAACCCTAAATAAAGCTTTTCATAATCATTCAAGCGGAAATTGGAACAGTATTCCTAAAAATTACGAACCAAAACGTGACCGAAGGCACGTCTCTCGTTTCGACCAATCGCTGACACGTCTCTTGTGAAGTCGCGCTTCTTGGCCCCGCATCGGTCACGTGAGCTCCGCTTCTCCCTGCTCCTGCCGCAACTCTCGGGGCGTCACCCCAGTCGATCCCATATGATTATTACCGCAACTGTTTAATTGATTTGTGCGGCACACAAGCGCCGTTTTCAACTGAAATTTTGGCAACGTGGCCCGAGACGTGCCTGGAATCCAGTTCCATCGCCAAAAAGATGTCCGAAATTGCCTTCATTGTCCCTTTAATTAACCCGCATCGAGGCCCTTTTCTAGGAATGTACAGAGCGCTTCGAATGTAAAAGAGGCCGACAGTCGGTTCCTTTATCAGTGTAAGCTAGGAATGACACTGTGCTGTTTGATTCAAACCAATATTTGCACACCCTGTTTTTCAGATTTGCGAGCAGTCGCGTTAATATTAGTATATGGGCGCGTAGATCGCTTTGCCTCAAATCATTAAGAGCTGCCAAAGGGCAGCACTTGTGAATTACTACACTATTCAGTCGCCCGTTCACTCGCCTTGGAATGACGACCCGATGGGCTAGAAGTGGGTTGCACGGCACTTTTGTCGCATTCAATGTGCTACATTAATTAATTAATAAATTGACACTTTCTTTGGGAGAAATTTGATGAGAAACCCCAGGCGGGGGCATTTGACAAGGGGCGTGTGGGGAGAGCCTAACAATGTTCCTTCTGGGGCCCAGAATGAGGTGAATGCCATCAAGTGGGACCCCCAGGGTGTGTTGCTGGCCTCCTGTTCAGACGACATGACGCTCAAGGTGAGTCTGAGCCACTTAGGCCGCTGGAGGTCCCTGCCGTAATCGGTCGTATGCGTTAGCGAAGCATTAGGCTCGGTTTTCATAGCAGCGCTGTCGATGGTCCAAGGTGCATTTGGACGGGTTTTTCGCCACCTTAGCGTGTTGAGCGCCAAGTTGAAATTGGTGATGCGTTAAGCGTACCGTGAGCGATGCGTTCCTTAGATATGTCCGTGCCGCAGTGCCGACCAATCTTTTACTTGGCTTTTACTCGTTGACCCCGTAAGTGACGATGTCGCAACATAGTGCTCAGCTTCAAACAAACCGTTGCTAGGGCCGTTGTTACAGACAAATGCGTGGGGTCTCAACTCGAGGTTAGAAATTGTTCTCTAAAAAAGGAAATAATTTATTGTATGCATTGTGTTTTCTAAATACAAATTTTGTTTGAATTATTGGAAGTGCGAATTATGAAAAATTCATCTAAAGATAATTCAAGATAAAATTAAGATTTGCTGTATGAATGGGGCACATACAAAAAATATATTTGATGCTTTTCTCTACATAGGCCTACTGATCATAAGCAGGTATGCCACTCATGAAGCATTTGTAAAATAGATGGCCATAAGAATATGTCATGAAGCACGCGCCACTCATTTGTATGCTCAAGGACGACGACGTCCTTAGTGTCGTCCTTGAGGTTGTCCTAGACATCGTCCTCTAAGTGTCATCCTTGAGGTCGTCCTCTAGGCGTCATTCTCGACGTCGTCCTAGAGGTCATCCTCAGAGTCATGTGAGAGGTTGTTCTAGATGCCGTACTTGGCGTCGATCTCCAAGACGTCATCCTATACGTTGTCATAAGCTGTAATACATGTAGAAACATTACTTGAAAACATTTCTCTCGCGGGACTATACTGCTCTGGCCTTGCTACACATAAGCAGTCTTAAATGTTAGCCGTTACAGAAATAGTTATTTATCTCTCAAAACAAAATTAAGTTGATTCATCATGCCAAGAAGTTCTAGTACGGACAATTATTGGGGGGACACACGAGCAATGAAAACGGTTGCCGCGCAGCAGTTCTCATAGCAACCTACGCGAATGCTGTTACGTGGACCTATGCCATGCTGCCACGACGCAGCGTCCGCGCAAGTTGCTATGGAAATTTCCGCGTTGTACCCGTTTTCATAGCTGATCGTGCCCTTCTTGAGCCCCGTTGAGTCTGCTTCTCATCAAGCGCCGGTGCACTGCGGAAAAGCCACACCCGTGGAAGCATGCTCCACTGTTGTTGCCTTTCTGCAGTGCACCGGTGCGCGGAAAGAAGCGCACTCAACGGGGCCGCAAAAACAAAAAGTGACATTTCGCGTTGGAAGCCATTGACGACTCGCGCTTGGTTTTCAAATCTCAACTTCTTCCACTGCCATACACAAGCACATTGGAGAGACCTCTCTCACTACTGCACAGTGGTGAAACATTCTCGGCATAATATTGCGCGATTGGGAACTCTCAAACGGATCGAAAAAGTCATACAAGCAGCCGAGAAGGCTCTCACTTTGACCAAGATCGGATCCCTGAGAACCTCCAGCGGTCGGGAGAGTTTGGATGTCTGTTTCGGTTGTTTTCGTTTTCGTGCACCAAAAGCTTTTTGATACAAGAAGCGGCGCGGCTCTTCGACGACGCCGGCTCGGTGATTCAATAGCTCCCAGCCCTCGCTAGGGTCGCAAAATTTGGTCGCGAGTGTAGGTCGAAATTCTTTGGTCACGATTATAGGTTGACCCTTAATTTTTGACATTTCTGGAAAAAAAAAGGTCAACTTATATTCAAATAAATACGAAAGTTTGAATTAAGCGGCTTGTGAATACATTAAAAAAAGTGAAAGCCGTTTACAACTCCCTGTAACGCCGAATTAGAGCGCAGCTCTTGAGGAGGAGGAGGGAAGGGTACTGGGGGGGGGGAGTCAAGTGACCTTGGGGGGGGGGGGGGGTCACGTGACGATGCCGATGCCGATGACGTCATCAGTAACGATGACGATGCGGATACCGATGACGTCATCAGTGATGATGACAATGACGATGCCGGTGACGTCATCAGTGACGTCACTGATGACGTCATCAGCGATGATGACGATGCGGATGCCGGTGACGTCATCAGTGATGATGACGATGACGATGCGGATGCCGGTGACGTCATAAGTGACGTCACTGATAACGTCATCAGTGATGATGACGATGACGATGCAGATGCCGGTGACGTCATCAGTGATGATGACGATGACGATGCGGATGCCGGTGACGTCATCAGTGACGTCACTGATGACGATGACGATGCGGATGCCGGTGACGTCATCAGTGATGATGACGATGACGATGTGGATGCCGGTGACGTCATCAGTGACGTCACTGATGACGTCATCATCGATGATGACGATGCGGATGCTGGTGACGTCATCAGTGACGTCACTGATGACGTCATCAGCGATGATGACGATGACAATGCGGATGCCGGTGACGTCATCAGTGATGATGACGATGACGATGCGGATGCCGGTGACGTCATCAGTGATGATGACAATGACGATGCGGATTCCGGTGACGTCATCAGTGATGATGACGATGCGGATGCCGGTGACGTAATCAGTGACGTCACTGATGACGTCATCGGGGGTCACGTGACTTGGGGTGTCACCTCTGGGGTCACGTGACCCTGGGGACTTGGGGGTCACGTGACTCCCCAAGGTCACGTGACCCCGATGACCCTTCGGGAGGGGTCACGTGACCTTGGGATGACCTTGGGGGTCAAGTGACCTTGGGATGACCTTGGTTACGCCGACGGCGACGCCGCTCAAGCCGGGAACGGGCCCCTAAGAGCTGCGCTCTAAAACGTAGCAGGTCAATCGTTGCAGGTGATACCGCAGTGCGGATTGGAGCCCCAACTTTGTTTGGCCGATGGTCCTTTTGGATTGAAATCCAGTCCCATGAACTCGTTCATAGCAATGCCCCTAGCAATGGTTTTTTGAAGCGGGGACGTCACACCTACGAGGTCGATTACCTCTTTTGTGTGGAGAGGTTAAATAAGCCACACTCACGAAGTGTGGTGTGGCTTATTTAACGTTAGCGTTGTCACCGTTACCACGGCAACCTTTCAAGCCCAAAATGGAGATCACTACTGGTGCTTGATATGTTTTGCATCTAGGTCTATTTGCATAGTGTCACAACTCTGGCAACTGAAGCTGCTATTAACGCTAGCTGACACCTGAGGACTTTTCGCGGCACACTCGCGCTGTACTGCACCTGTTGCGATGTCTACATTTTCTTTTTAAATTGTAAGTAGGTACTCCTCAAAACTGTAACGAACGAATTGTAACATCAGCCGGCCTCAGAGGGGAAATGCATGCTTTTCCCAGACGTTATGGCTGGTGGGAAATATCTCCGACTACTTGGTGCATGTAGCATCCTATTTCGTCTGTCCTCAAAAGGATGGCAGAATGTGTTGTGGGGTAGAAGTACCGAGGCGTCTCTACAGTGCCTCAAATGCAACTGATGTGCTTGGCATCCGGAAAAGGAAGGTCCTTCTCTGCTGGGATGGTGGCTACAACGCCTCTCCTACGTTGGCTTGTGGGACCACAAACGACCTTGCTGATAGCAGACACCTTCTAGTTGCGGCACAACCCGTCTGAGAAGCAACTCCATCATTTGTGCCTTTGCCGTATTGGCGAGCGTCTCAAAAGGCGCGTTTGCTGCTGGGCCGGCGTGGGTGAACGGAGGAGCTCGGTGGTGGCGTGTTGTAGGACGTGTGCTTCTCCCCGTGCAGATCTGGAGCATGAAGCAGGATGCCTGCGTGCACGACCTGCAGGCGCACAACAAGGAGATCTACACCATCAAGTGGAGCCCCACGGGACCGGGCACCAACAACCCCAACATGAGTCTCATCCTTGCCAGGTGAGGTTGGGCAGGAGCCAATCCCCTCGTTGGCTGCCGGTTGGAATATGTCATCAAACATTGACGAGTCGGGAAACAGATAGAACGCGTTTCAGGGCTAATTTATGAGCCCTGGAATGCATTCTGGCTGGTTTTTATGAGCCTAGGTGTCTTTACAAGGAACACTTTGTCCCCTGGGGGGAATTGAGCCATGGACCTCCCGCCGTAGTCCGACGTCCCACCCCTGCGCTAGTGGGGCCGAGCTGCTCGTGTTGCCACGAAAGCTCCGTCGCAGCAATGGCGGAAGGAGTCGCGCAATCACGTAGTTACTGTAGACAACGTGATTACATAATCACCCTATATTACGTGCCTTCATGGGGTTTCAACCCCACCAACCCAGTTCTACATTTGACTAGAACGTCCTAGAGCAGAGGTTCTCGAACTTTTTTGTCCCAGGGTACCCCAGCAAGCCTCACTAAGGCCCAAGGACCCCCTACCCCCCCCTTTTGCCAACCGATAATACTGGGCAATAAAGACGTTTAGATGGTGATCAAGAGTTTCTTGCTCTGACAGAATAAGACAAAACGGAGGACTTCATCCACGAATTTAACTTCCACGAGTACAGGTTGTAGTGAAGCACTCGCGCTTCTGGCTGACTGGCCGAACAACACGTTCGCAACCTATTTTGATCGGTCATCGGTGGTTTCATCAGTAATGACTGACAATTCTGGAAGTCGTCCGTCGTTCCGAACGTGTATTTGTAGAAGCGTTATCAATTTGGGATTGTCCACCTTCTCTAGGGGAATATTCGCAGATATCAACGCATTCAGGGATTTGAGTACAGTGTCGTGCCTGGCTTCGCCAGTGGTCATTGCAGATTCCAGCGTTTGCAGTCGACTTGTTTTGATGGTTCTTCGTCGCTTTTTTGCTTGGAAAGGCTTCCTGTTTGGGCATTCTTACGATGACGGTTGCTCTCTATGTGCTCGGCAAAAAAGGGCTCCTCCATCTTGGTAAAAGTTGCACTTGCTTGTATTCCCATGCGAATTCTTTGCCAATCGGAAAACAATGCAAACAGAAAAATGGCGCACTTTCTGTTGCGTTTTGTTGCGCAAACGTTCGATGGATAGATGACTCTGGCTACGGCTGAGCCCTTTGATTTGGGTTGCAGCTGGTCACCTAGCCATTCTTTTTTAATTGATGATCTTAGAATATTTGAATAGAAAATTAAATTTCTTCAAGAGTAAAAAATGATGAGGAAATAGAAACCCTTTTGCCATTAACTAATACGAAAGTACTACTTTTCTGTCACCTTTCACTTAATCTTTCGATTTGAGCACGTGTAATGCCACCTTTTGGAAGCTACAAAAGCAATTTTTTTTATTTGCATTTCCGGAAAAGAAATTTAATTCTGTTATTTTTTGGGGAAATGTGGAAAGTTAGGGCCTCTAGACTCATTATACATAGTGACATGACTCGTAGGGAACAACCCATAGTGAAGTTGTACGACCCAATGTCGCAGAAATTGACCTCGGCGCTTCGCGTAAATCCCAAGACACCGTCCCCTCTGTACCAGAATAAACGAATCCTACGGACAAAATTGGGAAACGCATTGTCTTCCGAGCTCACAAACGCTCCCGAACACTATCAACAACTTTATCTCCATGGGGACTTTTCGCAAAGAGAAAGATATTGGTAAAACTTTCGATATATTGCCCCCTAGTAATGAATACATGGCAGATCGATGCAAATTGCTTAGTTTTATGCTTTTGCAACATTCCCGAAATCTCCGTAAAATTTGCGAAACATTGCATCCACAAAAATGGTAATTTCCCATAAATGTCCGGGCCCTACCCAAGGCGAGTGCATTGGTGCGGGGTAAAATCTTTTTCTAGATGGACAGGCACGGACAGCACGTTTAATTGTTTGTCAAGATTTTCAACACCCGAGGCAGCTCAGGACGCATAATCTTTGTCTACCGACTTGATTCCCAGAACAAAGTTGATTTTCATGCAAGTTTTTATTTCTCGCTGCTCGGTGTTGTGCATCGAACAAATCTTGGCAAAAATCATTTAGAGTTGGCGCCACCAAATAAAGGGGAGGCGAGGAAGAGAGGGACTGGAGGTGCCACAGCCTTGTTTCTACATAGCTGAGTGTCACAGTGGACTGTGATTGTGCACAAAATCAAGAGAGATGAGGCTAAAGAATGAAACCAATAAACAGACATATTTGTACAAAAAAGAAGAGAAATAAAAGATACAGATGAAAAGAATTAAAAAGAAACACTTTCAGGTAGACAGTTTTTGACTCGCGTTGCCTTGGAGTAGGTGATCGCCGGCGGACTTCCCTCAAAGCCTTGGCTGTCCGACAGTCCAGTTCCGGATGAATTATCCTGGGGTAGTTTTCGGGCCAGGAGGCCAGCCGCCGGGGTGTACTCGTTTCGGGACGGAAGTCTAACCATCCAGCAAAAATCTCTCGCACGCACCCCACACACCATCAAGGCTCACCTTGGCAGTGAGTCTTGATGTGTCAAACACGCAGGAAAAAACTTTCCTAAAGAATGCTCGTAGCCTGATCGAAATGAAGGAAACTAGAAAGGAAGCAAAATAAAAAGCTAGGAATTACTTGGCATCCGTAGGTCGGATCGGACGTGTTTTGGGAGAAATCTATGCAGGCATCATTTTGCAAGTTGTGAAACATTTTCTCTGTTGGTGGGTGGTGAAGGGAACCCTGCGCTTCAGTTTTCAGGAGGAGTCGCATGAGGCGACACTTCAATTTGGCAGGCAAAGATGCCAAATGCCAACAGTCGAAGAAAAGAAATTTGGTAGGCACCGGAGGAATGCGTGCAATGTTTTTTTGGTAACGCTCCAGGCCCATTTTGTGTTTGGACGATTGGTCTGGCAATGTGCACTTTGCCGTATTCGGGTACTGCCAACTGCGAGCTAAGGCGGGTGTGACGGACCATGCAGCGCGTCGTTTGACTCGACGGTGCGGCTCTGGGAGGTGGAGCGGGGCGTGTGCCTGTACACGCTGACCAAGCACACGGAGCCCGTGTACAGTGTGGCCTTCAGCCCCGACGGGAAGTTCCTGGCCAGCGGGTCCTTCGACAAGTGCGTCCACATCTGGTCCACACAGGTGAGGTCTCGGAAGATATTCATCTCTCCCCAAAAAGGAGAGATTTTATGAGCCTTTAACTCTGTCCTAACATGCCCCAGCTTGATCTGCCATTCCTAGAGTTCACTCTCATTTGAAGCATCTTCGCCCTCTTTCTGCGTGCAGAGTTTAATGATCGCAACGAGGACGGAACTACGCCAGCCGTTTGCCTGTTTTGGCATCAGATATTCTGCGCTGTATGGTCAAGCTTGGCATGGTTTCCAGAGCGCAAGTCAAAGCTACTTGCGCTACTTCGTTTGGCATCTCCCTCGCACGAGCGCGCGTGCAAATTAGACGCAAGACGAAGCCACGTGTCGTCGCGGCATTGCTGGGCCGCAGCGTTGTAAAAGCGACGCTAGACTCGACGACAGAAAACAGTAAATGTCCCCACGAAGCCAGTTCACGCGACCAGAAAATTCCTCTCACAGCTCTTATAGCCGCCGAGAGAGATGACCACACTGACTGGCCCTAGTCTTGACGAGACAGTGCAGAGGCCTACGGAGCTTGTAAACTGTAATGCGCATACTTGGGGGCATATACGTTGGTGAATGGCTTAGACATGGATCCTAGCCATTCATTGGGGGTGGGGGAATTGAGGCGTGGCACCCGCAAACATCCAACACTTTTGCCAACAAGAGAGGCATTTGTGAACCAGAGTTAGCTACGGTGTCGATGGGCGATTAAACAACGGTCCGTTGGTGCCACGGTTAATTCACGGGGCGCCCTAATGTGCCAGATGGAGTCGCGGTGCTTAGCGATGTGTGGTTGCATGCTTGGCGGGCGGTGGTAGGAAAATGTTTTCTTTCGGGGCGGTTTCTGTCCACCTGTCGGGAGGCAGGAATGGGGGGGTAAAAAAAGGGATCTTTCCAGAGCGGGAACCTGATCCACAGCTACAAGGGCACCGGCGGCATTTTCGAAGTTTGCTGGAACCTCAGGGGGGACAAAGTGGGGGCCAGTGCGTCGGACGGTTCGGTGAGTGCCTCCTTCGTCTGGTCGGCAAAAACCCGGTCGTATGTCTACAGTCTTATAATTCCCGGCAATGTATAATTACGGGATAAAATTTCTACATAGAAGCCATTAAACTCTTTTCCTAGTTTATACCGAATTGAAACTTGTGGATTGCCTTACAAGGACAGACGGCACCTTGCGGCAACTCTCGGCGAATCGTGTTTGCCACCTGGGTCCGCTAGCAGCGACATCATGTGCAGGCCTTCTACGACATGCAGTTGTGGGACGATTGCTACAATGACCGCATGAGCCGGCTACAACCAGGGTGCACTTTAGTGCCTCTCGTTTTGTAGTAAAGTCCTTACCGCAAAACTGAACAAGTGTAAGATACGGCGGACAAGCGATGGAGTTCGGAAACTGGTAGACCGACGTCTCGCGATAGCCAACACGCCATGCTGCTGCCCAAGCTCTCCGTCACGCACGAGGGCAATTTTTGGTGGAAATGCACTCGGCAATGGGGAACATTTCATCTGTCCGACGAAGCAAAATGCAAAAACCCGAGGGGAACTTGGTCAGCGCGGGAACAGCTCTAGTGAGTTAATCGACGCAGCCCAGCGTGGCCCACTCGACAGTAGCATTATTTGCCAGTCTTTTGCACCATTCATCCGAAAGCGCGGAGCGCTCGTTGGACTGCTCCGACCGCACTTCACTGCGCGATCGTGTGCAGAGAGCAAGCAATGAAAACATGGCACAGCGCTGCTCTTGCGGGGCCAACGATAACTGTGAAATTTGTTGATTGTTTAGTTAGTTTTAAAATTTTGCACGGGCAGGGTGCTTGCTCAGATTTTTGTGGTAAACGCACAAAGTTTGTTTTAGACCCTCTTTAATATTGTGAGCAACATTTTTAAGCATAGTCTGCTTTTTCTAGGAGTATTGTTAAATTCTGTTATCTCGAGCCCAGGAGTAAGTTTCTTGTGTTTTCTTTACAGGTGTTTGTTCTCGACCTCCGGAAGTTATAACATGGTCTCCGCAGAAAGCATCGCAATCTATTTCTGCCTCTAGAAAAAAAAGGAAGTACTTCCGGGGAACTCTGGGGCTGACCAACTAAAACGGTCATGTTTTAGACTTTTTTTTCATTGTCATTCAGACTGTCACCGACCCCATGGGCAAATTTTTTTATTTCATTTTCACTCCTGGTTAGCCCTTTTCTCATTACATCTGTGCCGACGTGACGTGGACCTCGAAGTGTCAATGGCATTTCCTCATCCTTGAAAAGGACAAGAGTGGTTCCCCGACTGTCGTCGTCTATTCACCTTGAAGCCAGTGGAAGAGCGCTGCAGCATCCTTGGCACACTGTTGTCTTACGGAAGTGGTGCACGAAGAATGATGCTATTTTACCTCCTTTTTTGTTGTCTTTTTTGTTTGTTGACTCGTTTTTCTTTGGCCAACCGAGACATGTTTGACGTTTGTGCTCTACATGCCATTCTTTTTTTATTGACTTTCGGTGTATCGGCAGCTATACCCAAATGGCTCTGGTGCTAAGAAAAGACTTTTCCTGCATTGATTTAAGGATCGTCCGAATACTTTCTCTTTGGGATGTGCATATGTAATGATTGGGTTATATCTGGGAAAACAAATGGTGATTGTTTCTTGGTTTGTAGGGGCTAGTTTGTCTTCCTTTTTTGGCTGTAGATTGTCCAATAATATGTAGAGTATGGATGTGGCCAAGAGCATCTTGTAACAAAATTAAATTTCTATCGAGTAATTCACTAAGTATCTGCAGTATAAAAATTTGCTCATCCTGTGAAGATCAACTTGCCTAAGTTATGTCCACAAAGATATCTGTACCTTTTTCGGCAGGCCGCGAAAGCTACGAGTGCGACGCCGTAGCTCGGGAAGGACGTCTCGGTGTGCTTCCTTGCTACAAGATCTTTCCAAGGTTGCTCTCACAGCCTTTAAAGGACTTATGCTAGGTATAGATTAATCCGATTCACAAATCTGAACACGTTAGCGTCCCTCTTGGAGCCATACGTTACCTTGAAATTCGGGAAATGATAGTGCAATAAGAAGTTTGACAATGAAATTCATGCGAGCATAGCTCCACCTCAAGAGTCTGGCACATGCACTTGGCCTTTCTACCAACCGTTTTCAAAGCCATGTCTTTGCACTCTACTACGTGCGAGGTGCTCACTTTCCGACTAGGACATGGAAATGAAGACAATACCTGTTCTTTCGAACTGAGGACAGCTACTTCATCGACCTTCCATTAAGTTTTCCGGCGCAAAGCACTGGTGAGCGGGTCTGTCCAAAAGCAAATCTTTTGGGCCTTGCAGCTCCCCTCATTTGGGACAGACATTTGGCACTTTCACTGTCGGGAGCTCGCAACAAATTTCGGAAGGGGTCGTTATATGGCCAAGATTGACACTATAGAACTTGCATTCTATCGTGTCGAGCTCGTTGAATATCTTGTGCGCTACGTTTATGTTCCGGCTAGTGTGTTTGACAATGAAGATGCTGGCAGATTTGTTTTCCTCTGGACTGAATTTGAAGGCCTCCATCGCTCGTGGCTGCTTGGCATCACCACAACGACTGTTGAGGCCGAATGATGTTGCAGTGCTTGAAATTGGGTCGTACGGCACGCCTTGTCCGTCTGTGCTTTGTTGCAGCCCCTCCCAGGACGTAAGCAGTGGGGACCCATTCACGCAGTACCTTAGGTATACTTGCATCCAAACCGTGCCAGCAACTCGAGGAGTAGCTTCGCAGGCGACATTCGAGGCAGTGATGTCTCGGTGACACGCAACGTAAGCAAATGTTGCTGCGTGAACGGGCCTCAATGCTTGCGGTTAGGAAACATACAGTTCCGGAGCCGCGCGTTGTGCGAGGACCCTTGTTGCGCCATTCTCGCCAGGCTGGTGTCGGTTGGCGAGACCCATCCCAGCAGCACCCACCGACTGCAGAGATGGGGTGTTTTGTCCAGGCCTTGTTGACCGTTTGAACATGCTTGACCAGTTGGCTAGGAACACTATTCTAGCCCTTCCGGGGACATTTCCTCGGAACGTCCAATCCCAAGTTCTGGTGGACGATTCTAGGCCTGGTTGTGCCCATCGTCAATTTTGGTTTCATTTTAACTGTCCTCTGTCCCTCATGGAGTGTACATAACAGAGACAGAGTGCACCATTTGATAGGATTGTATATAAGGACTCGGAAAATTATTTCCTTGAGCAGAAACATGCTGCTGTACTTGATGTGCCTAAAGGTGATGGTTTCAAATGCGACACATCTGTACAATTGGGCCTCGAGAGGTGAAATTTAGATAAAATAATACTGTGAAGCTTCTCCACTGCGTGTACTCATTGTTTTGCATGCCCAGATTCTAGGGGGCACCGAGGACCGCTCCTCGGGAAACCGCCCCAAAGTTTTGCTCGTCTTGCACGATGAGCGAGCTATTGCCACACTACAGATGTCTAACAAATTCAGTTTTATTTATGTAACCCATAAAACCTGTAACAATGCAAACCCTGATACCGCAATGTGCAGCGGCAGTACACACTTGTCCCATTAATTGGAGGTATTATGGGACTTCTTTCATCTAAAAACAAATGTTCACTTGACACATACTGTAAACGACTTCCTTTTTGCAAGGACCAAGTCTTTACGATTTTAAGAATATTGCATAAAAGTGGAAGTGGGTAACAAACACACAGCACTGCTCCCAAGTGCAGACTTTAGTGTCCGCAAAATGTTCCGAAACCCGCATTTTGAAAGCTTGCCAAAAATAAAGTCGTTTAGAGTATCTCATGACCTCGTACCCCTATGCAAACATGTTTGCATGGAGGTATGCTGGTATCGGGCAACAAGGTAACAATGTACAACAATGTAACAAAAGGCATACAAATTAACATTTCATCAATAAATGCACATTTTAAAATGGTGGGGCACATGTAAGACAAAACAAAAGTGTCTGAATTGCACTTCAGATTGCGCAGCGGATGGACCTTTGTAAGCTTAAGGCTGCAAGTTGAGATTTTGAGTCCTTAACGTGCGGAGCACAGCATGCAGAGCATTCCTAGATAAGCTACCACACCGGAGGCTGCTGGTAGCTTTTCTTGGCACTTGCCTCATAATCTCGAGTGGGAAGTTCCATTGCAGGTGAAATACTTCTGGCAAGAACAAATGACTTGCAATTCGGTTATAAAGTTTGTGTGGCACCTTGGAAGCGGAGCCCCCTAAGCCTCAGACTGGTTAAATTTTCCAGAAACTAAGTACTATGGTGCTCCAGCCGGATCTCCTTATATATCTCGATCTGCAACCTGCTTGGACAATAAACAGCCCAGACGTGATCATGAAACCTGCTTGTTGGCACTGGAATCGATGGACGGGTGTGCACTGCAACTTGGAGCACGTTAAAGACCCTCAGAAATGTCCATTCTATAACAATGTCCATGCAAATTCCAAAGCAACTTTTTCCAACTTGATCGTTTGAGTGGTAGCATTCAAGTTGTGCTGCCTCGCACAGCATACAATGCCCAGAAGGAGCTCAAGAGACGATGCAATGCCTGCAGGTGTCGCGCAGAAGGCGCACTAGATTCTGAGCATGAGATTCTGGCACAGATGGCATTTTTGTGAAAATATGGTTCGATATAGCACACACTGTGAAAGCAGACGGGCCTTTTCTCCCCGTAAAGATTGCTATGGGCCAACAACTGCCACAGAAACATGCAGGAGTGCCTAGGCAGAACTTTTCGTACCAGCACCTCGTTGATCTCAAACTCCCATAATTGGAAGCCTCGATCACAAAGTTAAATCCCACGTGAAACGGAGTGGTAATTGGGCATATGTTTCTTAGCCTGTTAATCGCCACAGATATGCATTCTTTATAAAGGCACTTGGCACTAAGTGGCACCTCCACTCTGCCTGACAGCACAGTCTCTGGGCATGTCTTTGCACTGTTGGGTCCACAGCACCACACCATCGTTTGTTGCGCGGGACAACCTTCGACAGCTTTTAGCACTATTTGGGCAGTTGCTAAATGGCCACAGTTTATCGTAAAGTACCGGAGGTTCATAGCCAATGCTAATCTAGCCACTATGCAAGAGTAGATATTAAACAGGGATGCACCGACAACCTGCATTCATAGTTTGTGATTGTCTTTTTCTTTTTTTTTTTTTCATATTTGAGATTGAAGAAAAGGCGCTTGCATATAGCAGGAAGACTTATGAATTCCCTTAATTAAGTATAGCTGGGCACCTCTACACAGGTTTAATTTTATGTCAAATGCCACAATTTATCTGCTGTCCCAATGTAGCCATTGGACATTCTGAGGCTACATTTCTTAAACAACAGAGTTTAGAGGTGGCAGTTTGAAATTTTTACAAGTTTAGCCGAGTTTCCCTTTAAGCATGCTGCAACAGTAATAAAAGCCTCGAAAGAAACTATTCAACATTCTATGGAAAATCTCTGTCCCGAACCCACTATTTGTTGCACTTCAAACCCAAAATCCACTATTCGCGTATGCCTAAAAAAAATGTGATCTTGGCTTCTCTGCGGTGGCGTTGATGGTCGCAGCTCAACATCGAGGTGGATCTGAGAGTTGCGGTCTCCAAACTTGGCACTTGTTTTGAGAAACTAACAGACAAGATCACTTTAGTCATTCCTGCTGGAACCCATTTCTTTTTGATGCCCAGCTGATTCACAGACTATATTAACTGCGAAACAAATTTTCACCATCTATTATGTATACTACTGTTCATGCAGTGAAACCAATGAGGTAGAGGGGCTTGGAGTGATAAACTGGCAGCTGAAAGCGACCCCCAATTGGTCGCCGCCATTATTGCACATTTTGGACCACTAGACACGTGACCTTATTGTTTTATAACATTACCGACGAGATAAGTTATGTTTCGTTCATTTTAAGTCCAAAATGTGCTCTTACGACAAAAACTTGGGCAGCTTTGCAGTGCCTCCGCTAGATGCTGTCAGCCGGGGTGCTGTATTTTGGTGTTTTTTTTTTTGAGCTAGACACTGATCCCTGGGGTAACGATGTCGAAAAAATAGTTTATTGAGTTTTTTTACAGCAATTGCGATACAAATCTCGGCTTAGTTTTGCATAAAAGCCTCGGCATTTGGTACGGTCACGTGTCTAGTGGTCAAAATTGTACAACATGGTGGTAGCCAAGTGGGGGTCACTTTTGCCTGGTGAGCTTTAACCCTCTGCCTTGTTGAGTGAAACCTATGCTTGTGGCATTCTAAAATGTTGAGGGGAAGGTCACGATGCAGCATTATATATTTGAAGGGGTTGCAGGGTAGCAGCGCATTAATGTAGGCACAGTCGGCACAACCGTAGTCTGGTTCAGTTGCGTGGGCAGGTTACTTTGAAATCGGCCTCTGCCAAGGGCGAGCGAATTTGCCAGACCTCCGTAATAAGTATGTGCTCCCACCAGACGTGCACGGCAGTATGTTCCTCCAGACTAGCCGCTTGCAAGTTGCATAGGAGTATATGGTGATCAATGGGTTCTGCCTCACTGGCACAACTGGATATACCGAGCAAGCAACATAGTTGCATCCTCGCATTGTGCTGCGCAAGGACCCCAGAGTGGGCCATGAACCCGCAGAGCTCGCTTCATCGCTCATCGACGCCAACTGCGGCGCACCGGCGGGGAAAACGTCCGTCGAGGGCGCCTACGCAGCGACCCCCGAGGGTTGGGGTGTACATCCGGCGCAGAGGAGGCGTCCGGCGTGGGAAGCGAAGAGGGCGGCCAGGCTCGTGAAGCGGGGCCTCCTGTCGGGCTGCAGGTCCCAGCAGCGTTGCATGACCAAGTACGCCCAGGCGGGGCAGCCGGCGGGAGCCGCCAGGCGCTGGCCGGACTCCACCAGTGCCAACACCTGCAGGGGTGTTTCTCCGTCATGCTCGTGCGACCAGCACGTCGCAAAATAAACTTTAAAGGGCAACTCCGCTCAATTCCAAAAATTTTAGGCTTGTTTGGGATTCCATTTCTCAAAGCACTACTAAACAGCTCTCGGATTTGTGAAATGTGGAATATTATTTGTGTAATCTTAATTTAAACATCAGCAGATACTGAAACTTTGGTTGCGTCAGGCAACATTGGTCTCGTCTTGTAAGTCATGGCCACGTCGCGTCTAACCACGTGGCCTTGTGACGTTCGTGGGGGCAAGGTACAGGACACGTGACTCAGGCAGGCCGCTTCAAATGGCGCAAAAAGTGACGGCCCGGTGGAGGGGGGGAAGGGGAGAAGACGTAAAAGGAGAGGGGGAGTGGAGAAACTGGACATGGGGAACAAGTTGGGACAGACGCGTCGGGGGAAGCAAGTCCGAGCGGGAACCGCGGCGAGAAAAGTGCCAGGGAGAGCGGTGGAGAGAGCACGGGAAACAATGCACCAGAGAAGCACAACGGAAAGGCCTCCCGTTGGCGTCCGCCCCAGGCCCTTGAGCCCTGGGAACCCCGGATTGCCTCAACCGCAAGGCCATTCGCTAGCGTCAGCACTTCAAGCCCCAGAACTTTGTGAGCCTGACCAGAGAAGCACAAGGGCCACCCGCTGGCGTCGGTGCTCCAAGCCCCTGAACCCCATAAGCCCCGGAGCCAACTCGCCCAGGCACCAGCACAGTGATAGACAGCCCGGGACACCACCTCTTCAAAACGCCACGATGGTCGGTGAGCTGCGGGTGGCACCGGCACCGACTCCTATTATTATAAAACGGTAAATATTGTTTTTGCCTCGTCTCTCCTCACCTCATCGTGGCCCCACCACAGCGCGTCTGTGCCCCTCCACAGGAGTCGTCATAGTCTCTTCTATGTGACGGCAGGCGAACGTAGAGCAAAGCGCAGGTGTTGTCTGCTCTTCAATTTTCGCCAATTTAGTTTGCTACGACATTGTGTGGAAACTTCTGAAAGACGCCTCCCAGGCTGGTCAACTGGTAATTCGAGCAGGCAGCAACACAACATCGTGAGCCTTTGGATTTTTCTCCACTCATTGCAGCTAGGCACCGGAGATGCGGCCCGTGCTCGTATCGTAAACAAGACGTCCTTCTCAAGCTAGAGCAGCGGCGAGACAAAACAAACTTCTCTCGGCTCCGAGAAGCGCATCCGTGTTACGGTGATTACGTGGATGCCATTGAGCCGACACCGGGAGGGGGAACTCAAGACGTCATCGTTCCATTTCGCTCAGAGAAGTAAAAACAAACAAAACGTGAGAATGACGTAGCCATGCCTCTGACGTAGTGGCTCAATGTTGGCTGCTCCAACTCCGTGGCATTGATTGCGCTGATGATTGCGCCTCGCGCCGCACACTAGAGTTGGCAGATTTCGGCGACTTGGCTCGCTTGAATGTTTGCTGGCCAGTTTATTAAATATATAGACGGAATTAGATCGTAATATTTTACATGTAGTCTTCCTATATGATATTGAAGAGGACTGCATAGTTTTTAAATATAAAAAATGAAGCGGAGTTGCCCTTTAACCAAAAAGACCATGAATGTTCTTTGTCTTTGCTGGTAAGAAACAAAAGTGTATGTGCCAACACTAGCAGAAAGTTGTAGCTCTGGTTATATGTCTGTGCTCACTTATTTAGAGAATTCAGGATTGTTTTTCTGCTGAATGATGTACAGGAAGAATACAGATTAAAAAACAGCAAGGGGGAGGGGGGGGGGGGGCTAACGGGCCAGCCTACCGCCGTCACATCATCGGCCCAGTTCAGTATTGCACTGCAACTCCTTCAACTATTGTCATGTCTCCACATCTCGAGGGCAGGCCAACCTCTAACTTTTTACAAAGTCCATTTCTGGTGGACAGCAAAATGCAAATGCTGCGTGTGTGTTTTCACTGTCCTTTATTCGTTCTGCTTAAATTGCATATGCACCAACTAACACGTTCCCCAGTTCATTTTAGGCATCTGTTCGCTCGCCATCAACTCTGCGTAGTTTCTGCAGTGCTCTAATTCAGTCAATGTGACTCGCGTGAACATGCAACTTGGTTTGGCGTCTCCCCTTGGCGTGTATGAATGGGACGCAAGACAAAACCACGTGCTCGCGCCGTAGTGTAGGGCACTGTCGCGCCAGCGTTGACGTGACAATGTAGCAAAAAAAAGTTGATAGTTCTCAACACAATGCATTACAGCTTTGCGAGAAAACGTTGTGCCCTAGCGACGCACGGGTCGAGCAAGATAGCTGTGGTTTCACTCTGGTTATATGACCTTGACATGTCTCGTGACGTCGGGTTGCACGACACCATGACGTCGCGCACATGCAGCTCGTTGGCAACACATTCTGAACGTTTGAGCAAGGAAGACTTGTAAAAATTTTAATGGGTCCGCGAGTTAAAGAATAAAAGAATTTGCATTAGCTATGTCAGTTGATTCAGTGATGCCATATTTTTTATATTTATGTTCACGTTTATATTGAAATATATGTGTGCATGACCGAGAAAGAATGCTTCTCGATAGATCTGGGATATTGGTGTTTATTCTTACCCGAGAGTAAAAGATGAAGCCAGAATGACCTTTCCTAGTCATTCTTGCCCTAGTTCAATTCCAAATCTTCTAGGTGGAATGTTTGAGAGATATTGTTGTAGCTAAGGAGCCAGCTGTTGCAATGTGGCAAAATTGTGCATCAATATTTAAAGAACTCTATCTTTTAGTACTTACTCTCCTTAATCATCTGCAATGACTCGTTGACTTGCTCGTTGACTAGCTTATGGTGGCAAAACCAGAGTGAACCGTCAACCCCCGTGAGCGTCCCCCAATGCGACGGCAGCCCCCTCGCCTCGCGAGAAGCTCCCTTTGAGGAGGCGCCTTTACACTCGCACATGCAAAGCTCCAGTGCACAGACGCGTGGTATACTGCGTGCAAGGTCAAGCACATTCGTTTGAGCAAGAGAACGAAAGTCCCGTGCATATCGCCTTCAAGTTTTAAGACATTCGATTGCAAGCCCATGCACTCACATTCTCAATGCAAAGCCGCTCGATGGCATATCACCAGCTGATATCACTGAGTCACTCAATATCACGTCACGGACTCAGTCATATCACGGAGTCACTCAAAACAAACTCGGTCACATCACGGAGTCGCTCAATATTATTTCACGAACGCAGACTTGTATCACGGAGTCGCTCGATATCTCACATACTTGAGTCCATATCACAGTCGTTCAAATTCACTTGCAATCATGCGGTGTGTGTGAGTGAGTTGTTCAATCCAGGCTGTTTGCTAGCATGTTTTGAAAAACTTTTTCTGTTTTCTCAGAATTCATTTTTTCGTCACAACAAAAGAGTTCACCCATGATATCTTCTGATCTAAACTTTAGATATGAATACCTTTCTCAGGGTTTAATACCTCATAAATCAGAGAGTGCAATGATACTAATATTTCTGAAAATTGTTATCTGCAATATTTTCTAATTTGCAAAAACATTAATGATTCCTTTCTAATTATCAGAAAAAAAAAAAAATTCCATGCATAACTTTTTCTAGATTGATGCTAAAATTATAAGAATGGCATTGTTGGATCCTACTCTTAGCAGAACACTCTATTCTCTTACTAGGGGGGATCGGTGGTCGAGTGGACTAGCGCACACCAGCTCGGAGCACGTAGAGTGAAAGCTTGCGCTGCAGGATCCCAGGTTCAATCCCCACTTCTGCCCGTTTCAATCCGGATGAGCATCGTACCGGTGTGCGGTCGTGTATCGCTACAACATGATACACGTTAAGGGCCCCAGGCTAGCGGTTGTACTGCACTGGCTAAATTGCCCATCTACGACTGAGAGACAAGTCACTCGTTGAAGGCAGACTAACTTTGAGGCTGCATAAAGATACCCCAACCGATTTTTTAGAACATGCTGACATACTTTGTGCCTTATTTTTTTTTATTGCGGTCTCTCCTTAAAGAGATGCTACAAAGAAATTTCGGCGCTATTTTTTGGTCTATATGTGTTCAAGGGAGCAGCATCACATCGAACATACCAATATCTTGTTAAAAAAAGTCACGAAAAGGAATTTTAAAACAAATTAAACGATTAGCGAAGAGCACCTGGTGGATGTCGCAAACGCCTCGCTTGTAATGCCCATCTAGGAACCTTGGCAACTAGTGACGGAGGTTGTCTCGCCTCCGGCCACGACGAGAGAAGAGGAGCAGGAGGGACTCCCCTCTTCCCAAGAATGCCTTTTGTGTGTCGCAGAAGTCGCTATTGTCCCCCTACAAGATTACAGAAGATTAACCCGTCACTCAAAGTTTGTACAAAAGCAGCTGCTTCGGTGGCTGGAACGACTAGGCCTTCCTCTCGACGTCAGCCTCGCCGCAGCTTTGCTCGTCCCGAGACAACCTACGTCACGATTGCGTTGGATGTCACGTGGTCTCCGCTGGGCCTTCTCCGAGCGCTTGCCAGAGTGGGCCGTTTATGACGAAAAATACAGCCACCAGGCTCATACACAAATACAAACGTGCGATTGTCATTTACGGATATTGTGGATCCTATTCAACCTATTTTTGAACACCACGGGAATATTTCAAATTTTGTTGAAGTATCCCTTTAAAGGGCTGTTGTTATACATACTAAATCTCACTCCGAAATTATTGATCTGCATGCATGGTCGCTGTGAACAATCGCCATGAATCCGCCATCGGACTCCTCTGTAGCATGCTCGGAGGCCCAGTGCTATGAAAATCTTTAAAACTAAAATACCGCGTGGCGAGTACAAAAACATACCAATGAGAGAGTAGAAACCAGTTTTCCGAAATTTCCGCTAAGAACACAAACAAAATTTGAAAACATCTTCCCCTTGCAATTCATTATTTAAATGACGGCAAATACTAAGGGAATACACATTTAAGTAATTGGAAGGTAATTACGAATTCAAGTGTGATATGTTTTGGATAAAAGCCCCGAGCGGGGACTCACCTGCACCCCCGTGAGATCCTTGTAGGGCAGCTCTCCCAGAGAGTACATCTCCCACAGTGTGATGCCGTAGCTCCACACGTCGCTTGCATGGGAGAAGGTACCAAAGTTCACCGACTCTGGAGCGTACCTGCCGACAGGAATTCACAGTCGTGTACAGTGCACAAGCCTCACCTACACACTCACCACTTTGACCTGGCCTCCCCACTTTTTCATACTTGCGCATTTTTTCTAAATAATTTGCGGAAGAGTCCTTTGCACAAGAAGAGTTCTCAAAGTGTAGTGGAGCACTCTCTTTGAGGACACACTGCATCATTTGTAAGAACAGCATTGAAACAGTTTTTAAGTGAAGGAAAAAAGGAAATCATTTGAATTCAGTAACAAGGAAAAAAAAAATCTTAAACATATACCACCAATAGTTCTAGCAAAGTAAAAAGCACTGTGAATTGCACAAACCAAAGTGTGTGTTGATTGCTGTGAAACAGAGACTTATCACTATGCCAAGCAGTGTCAGTGATCTCCTTGATGATGATGATGCTGCTGGCTACTTTTTTACTTGTGAGATATTTACTCGGACTCTATGCAGCATCGTGGCTTCTGGCACTGTCTTGTGGGATACGGAGTCTCCACCACTGCGGGGAAACTGTGGGCACAAGGGTGCTCTCGGTTGCAACTTAGGTCCTGCATCGTTTTCCACGATGCACTAAGTGCTGGGTCGTCGGAGACCACGATGGCTGGGGACCACTTTGAAGTTCGGCAGTCAAACACAGAAACCGCTGACCCAGGTGCAGACATTCTAGACTTTTGGTACCATGGTTCTAGTATGCCTGCTGGCGCTGTGTCCTTTAGTCTTGCAGTCACCTGCTGGGGTGGTCTCGGGCTGTAGGAGTTTGTGTTGAGTACCCATTAGGCACTGGACTGGAGAACGGACGAACTAGTCTCTTGGCATGTTTCTCCATTCCAACAGGGCACCAAAGAATTCTGCAGCTTTTTCGCTTCTTGTACGGCATGCTCTGCCATTCCTTTCGAATGGGGGCAGTGGGGGCTTGACGTTGCATGAACAATGTCACACCCTTTCATAAACTCAGAATTTGTGGCTATTAAAGGGAGATCCGTTGTCACTTGCCAGCTTGGGGGAAGGCCATAGATTGTAAAGATCTCTTGGCAGAACCGCATAACAGCTTCTGCCATGGCATGCTTCAAGCATCACAGTTCAAAATAAAATGAGCAGTAATCAACAATGATCACATACTCCTCTCCCACTTGGTGGAAAAGGTTCATGACAACTGTCTGCCAGGGTAGTTCTAGTACATCATAGCTTCTCATGGGTTGCTTCTTGGGTTTGTGTTGCCTTCAAAGTACACGGCTCTGCTTTGTCTTGGGACGTCTGCTGACATTTCCCGCCCAAAAATTATATCCCTGGCACGCTGCTTCATCTTTTTGGTTCCGCCATGAGGTGTATGTAGTCGGTTCAGCACACAGTTCCTCATGCTGTTGGCCGAGAGAGGAGGTTATCTTCTGCATGGATCTCGTTGCAGTGCATCCAGTAGGTTTGTATTGCCTCTGGGTTGGCAGTCTTGTCTTCAAGCCACAAGGTGCTTGCATAGTCGTCCTGGTTCAATGCATGTTTAATCGTGCCCTGTGACAGGGCATCTGCGATGAACATCTCCTTTCGAGGCTTTATCCTCAGCGAATACTTGTGGAGGCGCATTTTTTGCAGATGCAGTGGGCACTGGTGTAGAGGTTTCTTTAAGACTGCTTCGAGAGGGCAGTGGTCACTTTGCACAAGGATGCACGGTTGGGCAAAGATGTGGTCGCGGAAGCAGGCGCAGCCAAGCACGATAGCTAACATCTCTTCTTCAACATGTGCATACTTTAAGCCAGGGGCTTAAAGCCGGGGGCTGTCCATTCTACAGAATGATGGCCCTTACTCCAAGCTGACTGGCTGCAACAGAACCGGCTGCATTTTGTCCTAGTATGCCAGGACGGGTGCCAAGTCATTCAAAACTTTCCTGCTGGGAGTTTGTCCATACCCAAGCATTGCCCTCCTTCAGCAGGTCTCTAACATGTTCAGGATAAATCTGGCAACAAAGTTTACCATGCCCAGAAATGTCTAGAGTTCCTTCACGTTTTCCGGCACCTGGGCTGCAAGGATGTCCTCTGCTCTGTTTGGGTTGGCTGAGAGTGCTTTGTTGGTCACGACAAACCCCACATAGTGCACCTCAGTTTCACAAAACTGGCATTTCGCCAAGTTCAGCTTGAGGTTCACCTCTTGGCACCGCTGCAACACGCTGGGCAGGCATGGCTCGTGCCCTTGTTTTGCTGAACCCCACACAAGTATGTCATCCATAACTACCTCAATGCCGCTGACACCTTGGACCACACAAGGGGCTGGCTTGCCTTGGAATCCCTCATGTGGTATACTGCACAGCTCACCTAGGCTTGTCTCTTCAAACGCTGCCTCGTAGAGTTGTCACAGCGGCCACAAGTCGCACGAGTTCCTGGGACAGTTCACCGCTGGTTCTTGCACAACAAAAACCTGTGCGTGAGCAGTCCCATTTTCGCTGGACACTTGACGTCAGCTTTCTTTTTCTGCCCGAAGAATGTGCTTAGAAGTGTGCTGCTTGATTCTAGTTCTTGGTTGCTTGGGTGACATGACTGAACAGTTTACTCCAGTGTTTAAGTTGCACACTAAGGGCTTGCCTTCAATCTGCATTTCAGTTTTCCAGACTCCACTCTTCTCTTCCTGACAGGACAGCATGCAGAAAGTAGCTTTTTTGGCATTCTAAGCAGTCCACTTTCTGGGGCTTCATCTGCCTGGACGCTCTTAGTTGGCTTCTTTGACCATCGCCGTCAGCATTCATGTAACTACGCTAAATTTAGTGGGAAAATTTACGTCACGTGATGTCAACACAAATTCAATTCCCCGCTAAATTTAGCGGGGAAATTCTATTTCTCTGCTAGATTTAGCACGAAAAATGATATCACGTGACCTCAACACAAATTCAATCCCTGCTAAATTTAGCGAGGAAATTCAGTTTCTCCGCTAGATTTAGCAGGAAAAATGACGTCATGTGACCCCAACATAAATTCAATTCCCCGCTAAATTTATCGGGGAATCGAATTGGTGTTGAGGTCACATGACATCAGTTTTCCCACTAAATCTAGCGGAGAAACTGAATTTATTCATAGGTGATGTGACACCGAGTCATGTGACGTCATTTTCCCCGCTAAATTTAGCGGAGAAACTGAATTGGAGGAGGAGGGGGAGAAAGAGATGGAGGAGCAGGAGGGTACGGAGGAGGAGGAGGGGCATACCCTTTGTACCCTCCCCTCCTCCTCCTTAATCTAATTTCTCAATACAGAGATTTGTAAACGTCTTTAAGTTTTTTGGACGAGTTTTACTTCTTCAGGGGTGTCCCCACACTTGTCGATTTTTTCTGAATCTCCTGGACCTGCTCCTCGCTCTTCTAGTGCATAGAATAGATATCCATGAGTTTCCAAGGATTTTTGTGGATGAGGGGGGGTCGTTTTATGTAAGATGATACCATTCAAGGTCGCCATACTCCCAGTTTTGGATCAGTGAGTTCCGTCAGCCAGTCATCAAAACCTTCGCCTGGGTTCTGGTCTCTCAAACCAGTCATGATATGCGTTTCTCCGTTTTGTTTTGGAGCTTGCCCAGAGATTGTACACCACCTGAAGATCTTGCGTCGTATCCAGGGGCTTCAAGGATGGTAGCAACAATGCCATGTTCCTGGTTAGAGTGGGGGCATTTGCTTGGGTGCATGGCTGTCTGGTGAAGGCTCATCGTTAGGCATGTGGTAAGCCTACTTCGTCGAGGTCATTCTCGTCCGACACCACGTGAATTGCGTGTATGGAAGTACAACCGTATGCACTGATGGCTGTGGAACAAAGATGGTTTCTTTGGGTGTTCTGCTTATGACTACACCGGGTGATGGCGCTGCCTGTGCCCTTGATGATGATGGCTACAAGCACAAAGACCAAGAAAACAAACAACCTAGAGCGCATATTACGAAGGGTCCCACATGTTTGGCGACCCAAAACCAACACCACCGAGTGGCCAGAGAAAGGGGAAGGAAGGGAGCTCACCACTTGAGGGGCCAGCGCCCGCCCGTGGTTGCCCGGTAGTAGTCACTTCCTACGGACAGTGCCCGAGAGAGGCCAAAGTCGCTGATCTTCACCTGAGCAGATAGTAATTATAGAAATTAGCACAGATTTGCCCTCCTGATTCAACCCCGTGAATAGCAGTGTGCAAATAACAGTGATGCTATTTGTGCCAAATCGCACCATGAGCGAAAGTCTGCTACACTTTACGCCAAAGCTTCATTTTTACAAATAATTGCGCCACACCTGTGGCCAAGGTAGGCTCGAACAAATAATATTTTTATTTTTTATCATTAGTCAATTTTAATATTTATAAAAGTAGAAGGAAACAAAACATTTTTACAAAATATGTATTTCACAGCATTTCCCAATATAAAATGTTAGGTCAGAGCACAGTCAGATGCTCATACACCAAAAGAGCAAGACATGGGGCATTCACTTCAGTCTGTGCTCCTGGCTTTGAGACATGCACTCCTGTCGCAAGCGCTCATTTTGTGGAGGAATGTTTCAAAGAATTGATAGACGTGCTGCGCTGCGAAGTTTTACAGAACAAACGCGTGACTAATAATTGAAAATGAAAAGGATGAGTTTACATTGAGATGAGGAGAAACACAACGAACACAAATGGGCGCAGTACAACCAACTAGCCCAAACCCAAGTCCAAGCTTTATTAAGTTTCAAAGAAGCGAATTTGTGCTCTAGTGCTTGTGGCATTGACTGCAGTCTGAGCTAAAACCGATGCCATGATGTCGCCCATTCAACGCCGTTTGATTAGTCCCTTTGGCTCGTAGCGTCGCCTGTGCTTTGACTCAAAATGAAACGAAGTGTAAATATGGCTCGTCAACTGCGATGGCCCCGCCACCGTCTGAATTTCCAGACGATGCCCGCAATATCAGGAGCTAAAAATCGCGAGAAAAGTTTGCAGTATAGTGGTACGGCGGCTACTGTAATAACACAGAACCAGGGTTCTTTTACCCCCGATGTTATCAGTTGATTATTGAGTCTACCGCATGCCTTCATGCTGTGGCTAGTGTCCAGTAGAACTTGCACCGCTCATGTCGACGGCCTGGGAGCAGCACGTTAAGCTTCACTGCTTTGCACAGGAGTGCTTGGAGCGGCGACCGACATGGGGCAGTGCATGGGTTAGCGCCATTGGCTCGAAAATTATGCTCAGTTACATTACAAGCCGACCATCTTTGGTTTTGACTATAAGTTTACCTCTAACTTTCAAAAACTGTGCCGCGACTGGAAAAAAAAAAAGGGGGCCTATGTTAAAATAAATACGGTATTCGAGGTAGTTTTCGTGCAGCAATCAATCGAAAGAATGGTGAACTTTGACTCAACTCTGCTTCATACGCCGCTAAAGCGCACTGTCGAGTCGATCTTAAGGCACAGCTGTAGGTTTTCATTATATTATTGACTGGTTATTTTGCAGTTTACGATATTAGGAACTTGAGCCGGGTGTTTGTAAACGTTGGGGGGAGCTGGAGGACATACCTTTATTGATAGATCTATTAGCCGATATGCTACTTTTTGCCGGCATTCTGCGGGAATTATGTTTACGGGCTAAATGAACTACCAAGAGTCAAAGGGAGAGGGAGAGAGAGGTTTTACCTCAACTGAAGTGTTGCGCTATGCTTTGTTTGTCAATCACTTTTAGTATCCGTTATGAATGGAAGCCACTCTGACCCGAGCCATATTTCTAAAACGAAGGCATGGTTGTTCCTTTTGCGTCCTATCTATTCTTACTACAAAACATAACTCAACCATTATCAGATATGAGCTCATTTGAAATCACATTTTCATTTTCAATTGCTAGCAGACGAAATACTGGCTGCTCCAAACCAGTATTTTTTCTGCTAGAAAGCTTGCTACAAAAGGTTGAATGCTGCTTCCATCACTGAAATAATAAACAGCGGCACTGGAAGCTATACTTTGAAATAAAGCGGTAGAATGTCACGCTAGTCTAAGTGCACTAGAGTTGGTAGAGCGATAGGAAATTGGGCGAGAGGAGCGCTTTGCCAATCGGGCACCAACAACCAGCAGTGATGATCTCAACTGCCAAGCATTTTGAGTCGTGGTGAAGTCGCTATGTATCCAAGGGAGTCGAGACTGGAGTGGAGCACAGCAAATTGCAAGAGCTCGCATCCCTAGAGAAAGAACGAAAAAGAAAGCGACAGAAACAAGAAAGCAGACGAAAGATAAGGCGTGTTTGTTCTGCCACAGCGCATTGCACTTGTTTAGTTGCTTGTCAACTAGTCGTTTTTTTATGAAGGGAGGCCTGAGGGCCCTCCCTTCTGAAATAAATGCTCACTCATCATCATACAATGCCTGACACCCGTGCTTTCTTGCAGACGAAATTCGAGAAAGGTAGAGGTGTGCAAATAACAAATACTGCATTCTAAGTTGAGTATTAATACTACTGTGAAACCCGTTAAGAATGAACCCACATACAGCGAATTATTGTCGATATCAAACTCAAGAAAATTTAAACAAAAATGCATGTAAAAAGTACTTTTTATAACAAACAACACATTGGCTATATTGAATTCCCCTCCCCCCCCCTGTGAAAACTTCCGAAACGCACAAACAATCGTCTTCTAGCCAATCCCTTCCCCTTCCCTTCCCCCCTCCTCCCCCCCCCCCCCCCCAAAAAAAAAGTAGGAAAGCCAGAAAATTCCAAAAGCTCAAGCTGCCATTCAGAAGGGGAGAAAGCTAAAAAAAAACACTGCACGCACGCACAGAAAAGAAAAATCTTTTCATCCCATAGGGGCTGCCCACAAAGAGAAGCGATTCAAAAGGGAAAATGAGCTAAAAAAAAATTTGCACGCATGCAAAAAAAAAAAAAGAAAAGTTTAGCACATTGTTACAAGGCAGAAGCGAAGAGAAGAGAAAAGAAAGAGAAGCTCTTGCCTTACAGCGAACGCAACGTGGAAGTTCGTTGTAAATGGTTTTTGCTATATATCTAAATACTTTCTATATTGAACTGATCGTAGCGTTTCCTGCTGTTTGTTATAAACGGGTTTGACTGTATGGTATAAATTGACTGCAAATTGATGTAGATATTTTTTTTTGTTATATGAATATTTTATATACAGTAAAACCTCGTTATAACAAAATGGGATATAACAAACTAATGGATATAACAAAGCAATCATAATTACCCTTGCTTGCTAATAGTGGGAAGAAATGGACATTGGCTATAACAAACTAATGGTTATAACGAAATAATTACGACCGCTCCTGCAACTTTGTTATAACGAGGTTTTACTGTATATATATATATTTAAACCATTTATAATACCATAGAGCTAATCAAGATGTTCCGTCAAGTCAGCCGTTTCCCCTGGTACAATGGTGCAAATTGATTACACATGTTAGGGTAGGTATTTTGATATTCCTCAGAAATATATAATATGCCGAGTCATTGCCCACCCCCCTATCGACCAAATCTTGGTGGGTAAGCGCAAAAAGTAAAAAAGCACCCATTTTATTTAGCATGGCCGCACAAAAGATACATTGAACTCAAAACTCAAATCAGTTTTTTTGTTTTATGCAAGAAATTCTCACGAAAGAATGTTTGACTAGAGCAAAGTCCGTTGCTTGCATACGTGCGATGAACTCTGGCTATTGGCATACAGTGCAAATGTTCGTTCTGTGAAAGCATGTTTTAGGGGCAAAGCTCCTTAGGGTCTAGCCTTGTCCGTCCGGCGTTCGTGCTCACATCGATATTCCTGGTGATCGTGCTCGTGAACTAACGTGCTCACGTGCTCGTGTAAAACAAAAAAAAAGTGACAAAAAAAAGAAAAAGAAAAAAATGTTTGCGCAGTTGGCAGGATTCAAACCTGGTGCGGGGAGACCCCAATGGATATCTAGTCCATCGCCTTAACCACTAGGCCACGACTGCGGGACGAGTAGGGGGCTCTGAGATGATGTAGTAATTCAAGAGCTGGGGATGTCATGGATGAAACGTTCCATGTAACCACTCAACGTCTATACAGGAGAGGGCGCTGCGGTCAAATGGGTATATAATCGCGTTAAACTTTGCATGCATTGGCTCAACGTTTATAGACGAGAGGGCGCTGCGGTCAAATGCTCAAATTCGTATATAACCACATTCCATACCACACATTTTCTTTCTGACATGGATGAAAACGAACGAAAGGCTCGGCATGCTGCAGCTCAGCGTCTACGCAGACAAGCACCACCAGAGCTTCGCCCCAATCAACATCATTCACCACATGGAGATGCGGTCATTTTTTTAACACAACCGTGTATTCTTCAATAATAAAAGAGAGAGAAAAAAAAGAAAGTGCAATGAGCGAGGAAGCGGACAAAAGAAGCCACGAAGAGAGATGCTCGGAAAGCGAAAAGCGGGCGATCACGTTGGCACATACTTTGGTGTCGGGTAGAGCCGGGCGCTTTGACAATCGCAAGGAGCAGGCTCTTGTGCAACTTTCTTGTTTGGTGCACACATAAGTGCGTCTGTGTGCGGCGTGCTAGCAATGCAGGCCGAGGCGGCTTTGCTGCAAGGCGTGGATGGCACCACGAACACCGAGCTCGAAATGGGACGCTCTACAAACGTCTGTGTGTTCCAGCAAATCTTTATTTACCCGTTGGCTCTGTCATGAACACTGTACCAACCGCGGTAGCAACGTTCCGGGAGAAGGAGCAGGTTTGCGGTGACTTACTTCTGTGGAGATGGAGTTTGATTTTTCACTCCGCGGTTACATTTCGCGAGGTCAGCGGGCTCGCTGACCTCGCGAGGTCAGCGAGGTCAGCGAGCTCGCTGACCTCGCGATTTCTGAATGGGTTACTGCTTGTGCTATCGTTCCAACCTTGTTTTCGGTTTTTGTACGAAAATTTTCTTTTGTAAGCAAGACAAAGTTTCATTTTGTTATCTTCATCGCTTTCCTTTCACACGCATGTAGTTTGAATTTGGGGTAACGGATATCGGGGAGGAAATACATAAACAAAAAGAAGCGTCTTTTTGTTTTACTTTGTCACGGATGGCCTCCAACTGTAAGGTATGTGGCCGCGTCATTCGGGTAGGATGAATGTTTGCGAAGTCTGCGTTAAGGCACTTGTTAAGGTGGGCGCTTTGTATTTTTTTGGAAATCAATATTCGCCCAAAAAGTGGGTGGAGATATTGAGGTAATAGCCTCACTGTAACGAGCAAAGCCGCTGTTAAAAGTTTTGTATAAAATTTATTTCCCTTCACGAAAGTTTATGGAGCAAGGTGAAATTTCAGCTGCTTGACTTTTGTATTATGTTCTGTCCATCCTAATAAATAAGTAAAAACAAAAACACTCGCAATAATGTTTCTCGTAAATTATGACGACCAGTCTATTTTTCCACCTACTACCATATCCCGAGGGACAGCCCACCTAAAATCGAAAGCAAATCGTGCGAAAAAAAGCTTTCAGCCTTTCCACTCTGGTGAAGAAGGAAGAGCAGCAGAGCTGTAGCTTCTGTTCTTAATGGTGGTTTTCCAGGCGAGCAATCTGCTCTTCTTTCGCAAAGGAACCTAAGCGCTCGACGCAGTGGAACTTTAGGCGATAGCGCCATCGCAGCGGTTGCAGAACTATTTGCGCTGCTGCGCACATCGCCGCCCATTCTGTTCCCGCTCTTCTTTCTCCGAAGAAATGTTGCTGCCATCTATGAGCGACGGCAGCAACCAGTTGTCTGGTTGCCGAGGCTGGAAAGGTTGCCGCGATCTAGGAGCGACGGCGGCAAGCAGACAACCAGCCAACGCAACACTCTGGACAGCTACCGCCATATATGAGCGACGGCGGCAACAAGAGTGTAGTGTTGACCATGGGTGTCGACGTTTGTTTGGTACACGACACGATCCTGGGGAAACTAGCCCTTAACAGCTCCGCTGTAATAAACAGTAAACTAACTTCCAGTGTGTGAAAGAAAAAAGTTAAAAAATGCTAGTTTTAGATTTTGTGACCTACGAAACTTGTGATTGCAGGAAGGGGCAACGAACCAAAGAAGACTGTTCTTCCCAGTCAGCAATGTTAGGTTATCTCCCGTCGTGGCTAAGTAACACCATTTCTGCTGAGGTCAGCATTGACCAGGGCCCTGCAATCACCGCGTTTTTGAAAAAATAGCAAATCGTGCCAAAATTTGGAAGCGGGTTATCTTTCGGAGATGGGGCATCTCTCATCATATTACAGTAAACTAATCTTTTTTCTAATTTTTAACGCCAGAAATAAATAATTACAAACAGTGTACCTCTTAGGATTCATCATAAATGTTGCTTACTCAATAGTACCATACACCTGCAGTCCTATACTTGTGCTATCGACTGCTATCGAAAAAATCGAGGTGCTTGTTTCATTTCATCATCATACTCGCGTTTCGACAGCATATCATTAATAAAACAAAATTATTAAATTTCCTTGCCAGAAATGTGTTGTACAATTTCTCTCCTATGCTTAATGCACAGACTACGCTATCGCCCTGCAACTTACTGCTTTCTTCTAGAACCACAAAATCAGAATCACGAACCTTTAACACCAATAGCTTCACGCATATTTTTGGGACAACATTAGCATTTAACAATTACTCCTTACCACTTGCCATCAAGCTCTGGGACTATCTTCCCCAAGCCACTGTGTCTATTTCTGATGATAAACTTTTTCGATCAGAGAAGACAACCATTACTTACTTCCAGACCATAACCAGTCTAACAACCATTATTTTGGCATATATAACGGTGTCAGATCCTTTTACCTCTTCATTTATAGCACGTGAAAGCCAGCTCAGTGTGTTTTTAGAGTGCAGCTCTTAGGCACCCGTTTCCGGCTTGAGCGGTGACGCTGTCAGCGTAACCGCGCAATGACGATGACGTCATCATGATGATGTCATCATCATCGTCACTGATGACGTCCCACGTGACGTCACTGATGATGTCATCAGTGACGATGATGATGGCAACGAGAATGACGCTAAATTCCCCGCTAAATTTAGCGGAAAAAATTTCCCCACTAAATTCCTGCCAAATTTACACACTATGCTCTCACCAAAGATGTGCATTTTCTGTGACTTGCGTTAAGCACACGTCGATCCACATCCATGTTACTAGTGTGGGACTTTCCACCTTCTCCCCTCAGTACCCTTCCCTCCTCCTCCTCAAGAGCTGCGCTCTAATCTGGCGTTACAGGGAACTGTAAACGTCTTTCATTTTTTTGACTGAATATTAACTGAATATTGTATTGTAATATTGTTCTGTAATAGCTGTGACTTATACTGATACCTTTGATATTGTATTGAAGTTAATGTGCAGCATGCTATGTGCCATACACTTTGTTCATGTTTTTATCCAACCGTATTGCCCCCCTCCTGTAATGCCAAAAGGCCTTCGAGGTATTTCGAATAAATAAATAAATAAAGCAAAATAAGGTTTTGGCACAATTTGGAGCAGATTCTTCTCATTTTGGCTAAATGTAGCAGGGTGTAGCAGGGTAAGCCCTTTGATGCAAATGGTGCAGCAATCACATCAGCGGAGGCCTCGCTGAAGATGCAAAAGGCGAGCACATGGTTTGAAAAAATGGAGAGGATTGTCAGATAAGCGTGCTACCTGCAGGGGAAGATACCTTCACACCTTGCAAGGCTGGGGAGGATGTTGAATACTGTAAACAACTTAATTTTCGCAAAGACCTAATTTTCGCGAAGTTCGCGAATCGCCTAAAATTCGCGAAAAATAGGTCCCGCAAACAGTTCCGGTAAAATGTAAACACATAGTAATCTATATTGAGATCCCACTGCGTCGCAAAAATTAGAACCCCCGAATTATTCCAAAACTTCAGCTTTGACCTAAATCGTAAAATACTGAGCCCGCAAAGAATAAGTCGTTTACAGTATTTCATTCCGAACAGCGGCCTGCGTGGGAGATCCACAAGTGGTTGAGAGCACGAGCGAACCTGCCAGTTGGTAAATGATTTTCTCTGCAGCCAGTTGTCCTATCTTTTTACGAGCAACTACAACATCACCCACACAGCAAAAGAGGAGCGCTTGAAAGGCGCAACAGCTAGCACGCGGCGATGCCAAGACTCGCTGTCGGCCGCTCGTGGTTTTGCCCCCACCTGCATGCGGGAGGCGAGTAGCAGGTTGCGGGCGGCCAGGTCCCGGTGCACGAAGCGGCGGCCCTCGAGGTAAGCCATGCCACAGGCCACCTGGTGGGCCCAGCGGGGAAGGTCCTCCCCAAAGGAACACACCTGTCCTGGCACCTGCAGGAATGCTTGCAGGGAGCCTAGGGGCAGCAGCTCCTGCACCTGCACTCAGCAGGAGAAAGAAACAGCGCCCACTTGCATGCATCACGAGGGGCACGTCAACTATCATATGCGCTCCGCTCCTGTTCGTTAGACCTCCATACTATGCGTCCATAAAGCCCCACTGTCCCGACTGGCGTACTTCAGCGTATCACATTTGTGTCACCAGAAAAAATTTCTGCCTCCTGCACCATCTTGGAAGTTTCACACAAGGGCTATTGCAGTGGCTTAGAGGGGTAGTGAAGCGACCGCGTAGTCTCCGCCGTGAAGTGGAGTGTGTTGTCGGGTGCTTTGGGATGCGATAACAGCCCCTCAATTTCTATAAAAATATCTCAATACATTTTATAGTTTAGGTCCAATGAACGGCCGCAAAAAAAAAATCATTACAAACGCGTGCCCTAAAGGCCCGTTCACACTCTTGCGACCTCTTAAACCTAGGTTCCTTAAAACCTCTTAAACCAGAGAACACACTGGCGCCATCTATTGGGAAGCAGTGTAAACTCGGCGGTCCGGCATATTCTTTTTTTATTTCTCGTGCATTATCCTTTCTTTCTTGGCTCAAAAAACTTTTGTCAATGTTATAAACGAGCCTTTTTATGGTTATTACGCACATTTGACCTCGGAAATCCCGCAAAACCTTCGCTCTTGTGAAATGCAGTTCCAGGGTCACCGCATAGATGGCGCCACAATACCAGTGTGTTCCCTCATTCTAAAAACATTTAAGAAGTTTTAAGAGATCCTCGTCTCTCTCAGTCGTACTCGGTCGTACTCGGTCGCAAGAGTGTGAACGGGCCTTAAAAGGATTGTCAGAGTCGGTTTTCGTGCAGTGCAGTTCGGTTATCCATGCGTTAGCATTACTATCCACGTGACAGGGAAACAAAATAATTTGATAGGCTAGTTGGTTAAACATATAGTACACAAAATTACCGCAAAATATCGGGCAAGCGCCCACTCAAACTTTGGAGATAATCGCAAAAAAATGGGGGATGGGTGCCTGTCCAGTCATCAAGTTTACATATAAATGTACCGTGCGTATTCACTCAGATCTTACAAATGTGGTAATGGGGGCTTAATGTGGAATGGGCGAATACGCGGTATTCTATGGTAGTGCGAAGGACAAACGCTGGAAGAAGTAGACAGGACAGAGCGCTACTTACAACCTACATTTTATGAGAAAATAGAGGAAGGCAAAGATAAGATTGAGACTGAAATTATAGAAAGAGGACAAGAAAGAATATGCTAGAGAAGGGAAAAGAAAAAGACAATACCAAAAAAATTCAAAAAAAAACTTTCAGCCCTTCCACCCTGGTGAAGAAGGAAGACCAACGAAGCTGTACTATGGTCAGACGACATCAAGGTCGACTTCTTGGACGACCTCAAGGACGACGCCTAAGGACGACGCCTAAGCACGACGCCTAAGCACGACGCTTGAGCACGACGCTTAAGCACAACGCTTAAGCACGGCGCCTAAGGACGGCGTCTAGGACGACCTCAAGGACGACGCCTAGAGGACGACCTCAGGGACAACATCTAGATGACCTCAAGGACGACGCCTGGGACGACCTCAGGGACGCCGTCTAGGACGACATCAAGGACGACTTCTAGGACAATTTAGAAGACAACGACTAGGACAACCTCTCGGACAACGTCTAGGATGACCTCAAGAATGACTTCTAGGACGACCTCGAAGACAACCTCTCGGACGACATCAAGGACGACCTCAAGGACGACGTCTAGGACGACCTCAAGGACAACTTTGAAGAACAAAAGAAGGTAACGGTACTCATTACATTCGTTTGTTTTTGTAAATGAATGCTGGTATCTGGGAGAGGCCCACCCACCATCATGAGGGGAGGTCCGAGGCAGACAGCCAGCAGGCGCACGACGCACGGATGGCGCAGGCCCACCATGAGCTCCGCCTCACGGGCAAAGACCTCCCCGGCCGACATCTCCCGCAGACGCTTGACTGCCACCGACACCTGGGAGGGACACATGCGTCACCCCTTGGCCAGCCGGCCTTGGATGAGAGCCAGCACCTCGGTACCCTCGGGTGTCAGCCAGATCCCTTGGAGCACCGAGCCAAACTCCCCTTCTCCCAGGGTGGGGCCTGCAAACCCGGGAAGCGGCTCAGGACACCTTCCCTTACAATTCCTCAAGGTTGTTGGACACTCGAGACAAAGAGTCACACTTATTTGAATTCAGAAAGTCAGTTATTTAACTCTACAACTCTTACCATGCATTGGTGAAAAGCTAGTTTTAAATCCCTTAACCTTTTTCTTTTTGTTGCAATTTTCTATCCTAAATTTTTTTTTTTTTTTTTATAGCACGTGCAGCCCCGGGTTGCACCACGTGTCTCCTAAATCGGTCGCCGTTCTTAAAAATGTGTATGTGTGCTGCCAAAGTGTGCTGCCATCTCTGAGCGCTGCCACAAACTAAGCTCTGAATGAGCCTGGGCCGTCCAAAACAGCCAATTGGCGAAGTAGGGTGCGCAGACAAGCGACACTTGTCCTAAACGGTTTGGAGATGGCTCTAAAGGTGGACGAGCTAGGTTCGTTTAAAACGGTTAAAGGATTAAAGGCAACTTACAAGAACTCCTAATAACCATTTCTGTAACAATAGTGTCAAGAATGACAATAGGTGAGGCGACAAATGACCGAAGGAAACTAAACTTTAATGTGGCGAACTTGTGCCCAAAACAAAATATAAAAAGGCTAGCGTCGCAGGCGTCGATGGCGGCGTAGCAACACCTAGGATTGAGCACTGGGGCAAGACTGACTCCGGTTCACCACGCCCCTTTTGTACATGCGTAGGTTTCTGGAACAATCGGTCTAGAAGGTTCGGCGTGTCGAACAGTCGGACCTTAAACAAGCAACATGGTTGTTAAATTTACCAGAATCCAACATTTACAAAAAAAAGTGCTGAGGACACCTAAGCACTTCGCATAAGTTGTGAATACGAAAGCATCAATGTCGTTCTTCTGTTCCCTTAGTTCGTCTGCGGTGTACTGACGCTGACGGCCACGTTTCGCTGCTTCCAAGGTTGCGGTTGCAGCCCCCCCCGGCAACGCCTGGCACAAGAGCGCCTTCTGAGCGCGCGCTTTCTTGAAGCAGCCACTAAATGGCTATCTAGAAGCCATTTTGCTCAGCAAATAAGAAATTGGCCAATAAGAAAATGGGCACGACCTCAAGGATGACTTCTAGGATGATTTCGAAGACAACGTCTAGAACGACCTCAAGGACGACTTCTGGGACGACCTTGAGGAAGACCTTGAGGACGACATCTAGGACGACCTCAAGAATGACTTTTAGGACGACCTTGAGGACAACCTCTTGGACGACATCAAGGACGACCTTAAGGACAACGTCTAGGACGACCTCAAAGACAACTTCTAGGATGACCTCGAGGACATACCCAAGCACGTTTAGGACGACTTCTAGGACGACCTCGAGGACGACATCTAGGACGATACCTAGAGAAATTCAGCCTTTCCACTCTGGCGAAAACCAGAGTGGAAAGGCTGGAAAGGTTGTCGCCATCTATAAGCAAAGCCGGCAAGCCGATTTCCTGGTTGCCACCGTCGCTCATAGATGGTGGTAGCTGTCCAGAGTTTTGAGTCAACATTTCTTTGTGGGGGACATGATCCTGGGGAAACTAGCCCTTAACAGCTCTGCTGTTAAAATTCCACTCTCTGCAAGAAAGCCGTCCTGGGGCATAAAGAAAGAGGGCATTGTTAGGTCTTTCGAAAGGACGTAACCATGCTTTTTCAATTCACTTCCTCTGCTGGAGGAACCGATTTCTGATAAACTGCCTCAACGACTTTTGTTCTGTTCATTTGGTGCTACTTAAAAAAAATGTTAAATCTCCAACTTTTTTTTTTTTTAATTAATTTATTATGTTGGAATTTAGTATATTGATGTATTTCTCAGCGGTGATTTCAAGTATCCAATTAGTTTTGAGAGAGCTTTACTTGTTTCTGAGTTATCAATAAATTTGTAATATTAATTAGGTCCTCCTTACAGGTCGTTAGAATACAATTCTTCAGAATACAGTATAGACCACTTACAACGTAACCGCTTATAGTGCAGGACCGGGTATAACGCGGTTTTTTTAAACCACCGGTTCGCCTCCCATAGAACTCCATGTAATTACATACCGCTTAAAACGCAGGCGCGCGAAGGGAAATACCGGTTATAGTGCGGTTTCTGGCACAGCCCGCCGACCGCGCCGACGACCGGAGCAGCGAGCACGCTTCCCTGTGCGACACTAGATAACGGCGCTGACGGCGCGAGTCGCAAGCGTTGCGCAAGCGGCACTCGCGGGCCAAGGAGGTTGCTCGAAGAAGCGGGAGAAGCGAAGAGAGAGGCTTCAGTTGCCTTAGCGACGGAGGGACGCACGCACGTGTCGTTCACGTGCGTGCGTCCCTCCGCTTCCTTGAAAACATCCGAAACAACCGCAACGACAGACCAATTGCAGGTCGAGAAGTGTTCGCGCGCGTCGCATGCCGGTCGCGGTTGTGATCAACGTTGTGATCGTCGGCGGCGTTCATCTCATCGTTCCGCGTAAAAGCGCTATCCTTTACTGTGAATTTTCGCTGTGTGTCGCTATGATAACCCAGCACGTACTAGAAGGGAAGATCCACCTACTCGAGCGGCGATGTCGTGGCGGCGCTCTCAAGACGGCAGAAACGCCCGTGTCGTCGTGTTTGTTTACTTCGACTACAGTGGTGATTTCTAAGCATTTGTGTGCTCGAACATCGCCCGGATTTCTTATTTGGCGCATTTCATGCGTGTGCTCAAGTTCAAGGTATTACTGGCGCGTACCGTATGAAGGATCCGAATTTTCACGCATTTTCATCTCCGGAGAAAAGTGATTAGGGTTAGCAATCCTGAACGCTCGCAACGTCCGTCCGCAACCCGCGACGCCGCTAAAAGGCTGCGCCAGGCAAAAGCCGCTCATTTCTTTCAAAATCTGTGACACACTTGAGAGAGAAGTGTACTGGTCTGGTGAAATAAAGACTTTCCTCAAACTAAGCTTTATTTTTCATCTCACATAAAATAAATTGTTTTACAAAGGTAAGTTGTCTCATGGCATGTATTTTGGCCTGAAAAATTGATGTTTTGGTTATAACGCGGTACCGCTTTTAGTGCGGATTTTCGCGACTCCCGCGACATACGTTATATGCGGTCTACACTGTATATCGGAAATATTTATAGAATTGCATTCACCAAGACATGTCTTGTGCAGTGATGGTATTTTAAGCCTGATTTAATGATATTACATTGGAGAAAAACATCAGCAATTTTGAAACTAATTAACTAAAATTATAGTATGACATATAAAGCAACAAAAATAGCATCACCAGAAAGCATGTCTTGGTGAATGAAATTCCATAAAAATTTCTGATATATTCTGAAGAATTTTATGCTAACGACCCGTCAGGACCTAATTAAAATTACAAATTTATTGATAACTCAGGATCTAGAAAAGCTATCTGAAAACAAATTGCATATTTGAAATCAACGCTGAGAAATACATCAGTATACTAAATTTCAGCACAATAAATAAAACATTTTAAAATAAATTAAAGACCACCATCCCCCCCTAAGCTTACTGAGGTTCATTAATTTGACAAAATAATGATAAGACACCCGTCGGTTAAGAAGGCACATTGGCACATTTAATTGAGCCCAGTTAGCATTGCAGGGTTCCATGAGCCTGCGAGAAAAACAATTATGGAAAAATGATAGCAAAAAACAATGAGCAGTGGAATGAGCAGTGGGTCATTCTCTCGAAAAGTTATACCATGGTGTGAAGCTTTCTTTTTTTTTAATTTTCAGCATCATTTCTCCATTATTCTCAGGAGAAACCGGTGCTGCAGGTCCCTGAAAACAAATACTTGAGAGTATTCCTAATCACAAATAGAACACATTTAGTTGTGCGGATAACCACTGTGCAAGTACCAAAGGCTTCCATTTTAGTTCTACCAAACTTCGATAAGCTTGATCGCAAAAAATTTCAGCCTTTCCACTCTAGTGAAGAAGGAAGAGCAGCGGAGCAGTACCATGCGCCACCTTTGCTCATAGATGGCGATAGCTGTCCAGAGGGTTGTGTCGAGATTTATTTGTCCATGGACACGAAACTGGGGAAACTAGCCCTCAACACCTCTGCTGTAACATTTAGAAATCACGTCAGTTAGTGCGAGCGATTGTAGCATTCAGTGTTAGAAATATTATCGAGAAACAGCCGTCCAAAATGTCGTTGATGCAGAAAATGGAAGCTTTTGTGGCAACTCACCCAAGCGAAGGGAGTCCCTGCCAACGACCGCAGTCGCCGGCAGCGGGTGGCGCGAAGCTGCTGTCCGTGGGCCCACCGGTGGCGGCTCATCTGGCGGCACTGCACAGAGGTTGCATCCTCCTCTAATTCCACTCTAGACCACCTCAAACCCTAGAGAGCGCTCGTGGGACGCCGTCCTGTACAAGAATTTCGATGCAGAATGCATTGGGGTCCCTGAACGGCCTCCAGGTGGTTCTTTTTGAGGAAAATATTGCTTATTACAGGTGCCACCCTCCATCCTATACAGACCTCTGACTTCTGTACAAACAGATCATCCTAACGCCCTAAGAAGGCTGATCTTAAATACACGGACAAAAGTTGGAGGAATTCTTCAACAGAGGTTCTGCATTGTGTTCTGAGCTTATTTTCGTCGTTGTGCTGTAACGCAGCACAACGGTCGTAAAGCGCCTGGTTAATTTTTCTATCTTCTTGTTGACTTTTTTTTTTTATTGAAGAAAACATAGCTGTATTAGAAATGCGCTTTCAGGGAACAACATTTGCACTGTCTGTTGATCGGTGATGTTCATTGCGCATATGCAAGCAACAAACTTTGTGATAGTAAGACATTCTTTCATGAGCATTTCTTGCATAAAACAATGAAAATAATTCGAGTTTTGAGTTTAATGTATCCTTGTGCAGTCATGCTAGATACGTACAGAAAAATGGGAATTCTTTTCAGCTTTTTCTAAACTTTTAGCGCTTACCCACCAAGACATGGCCCACCCCATTTTTTTTTAATGAATTTCAGGTGGCAGGAGGGTGGGCGATGACTTGGAATATCACGGTAATCAAACTCAACTGCATGGTTCAATGTTGGTTGCAATGCATATCATGTATTGTGAAGTTGTGTGAGCACTCCACAAAACCTTTCACACAGGGGTGCACAAAGTAATCGCTGTCAAAATTCCTAAGATTTACATTTCTAGCTATGCAAAACACATTTCTCAAGCTGAATGATGTTACACACATCGTTAGAGCGCTGGTATCCACTTGCACAATGGTAACAGATAAAAAAAACAGAATTCCTACAATTTAGCGTTGTTACACGACCAAATGAAAGGCAGCAGGCGCTGGCTGCTACGATAATGAACAGAACGACGGTAGGACATGGTGCCATCCAGTTCGTAGATGAAACCATGTACCATTCAATGGTTAGATGCGGTTAAGGCGGATGAGAAAAAGAGGCAAGCAAGATGGCAAGATGGCTTGGGACAGCTCCCGCCCTGTTTGCCAATGTAATTTCCCAATGGCGTCGCGACCCAGACAACACAAAACATTCTCAGGACGTCCTATATTGATTCTGGCTCAACAGCGGACGTACCGAGGACGTCCATAGGAGGACGCAAGATTGTGGTACCCACAATGTCCATGATAGGACTGATCTCAGATCACAGGTTTTTTGTTTGAACCGTGTGCCCTCAAATGGATTAACGTGCGTGCGTCCATGCTAGACGACGTGAACGTGAATGCTCCTCTTCGAAGGATGTCAAGCTTAAAAATAAGGAGCCATTATATTGACTAAAAACTTAAATATGACTGATTTCTAAAAAAAATAAAACAAAATGTGCATTGCTTTAGATTCATCTTCTTGCTTCGCAAAAGCTGCAAACGGCTGCAAAGCAATGTTTGCGCAAGAGTTGGCCAGATTGCGCTGGTCAAGCCATAGCCATCTGTCAAGCAGTGTTGCCAATTTAGATATTTCGTAGCTAGATGTAGCTATTTTTGTGGGCGAATAGTTACAAAAAATTCATTTCAGCTACAAACTGCTAAATGAGCTCTTTTTCTATGGCTCCAAATTTAGCTGCTTTTGCACATTCTAACTAATATCCAGCAAATATGTTGCAGTTGGTAGCCTGTCCGCCTAAATTGAATTGCAATCAGCCTAAACTAATGAATTGCAAGCAGCCTAAAGGCCCATTCACACTCTTGCAACCGAGTACGACCAAGAGAGACGAGATCTGTTAAAACTTCTTAAATTTCTTAGGACGAAGGAACACACTGGCATTCTGGCAGCATCTATGCAGTGGCCCTGGAACTGCATTTCACAAGAGCGAAGGTTTTGTGGGATTTCTGAGGTCAAATGTGCCTAATACCTATGAGAAAGGCTCGTTTATTACGTCCACAAAAGATTTTTGAGCCAGGAAAGAAAGGATAATGCGCGAGAGAAATAGAAAATATGCCGGACTGCAAAGTTTACACTGCTACCCAATAGATGGCGCCAGTGTGTCCTCTCGTTGTAAGAGGTTTTAAGGAACCCAGTTTTAAGAGGTCGCAAGAGTGTGAACAGGCCTTAAAGAACCAATACTACCTAATGAACCCAGCGTGCCTCAAGTTAGAGTACGTTCAACTTAAAGCTGGGAGCACTGTCTTGAATCGGCACGGCGAGTTGGCGATGTCAATAGGCCAAGATACAGAGATGCTCTGTCCACCCCACAAGGTTGTGGTCTATACCCCTAGGCTGACGGTGGGAGGTGGGAACTGTGTGCTCGCCGGACCAATCATCTGCCTCCCTTCCATCGAGACCCCGCTCCCGATTGCTGTGTGTGCTCACCGGACCAATCATCTGCCTCCGCTTCCATCGAGACCTCGCATTGCACGAAAGGAGGACGTGTAAGGATGAGACTGGAGTTAGCATCTGCCACACTCCTCGTAGAACACAACACTGCATATAATGGTTTGGCCAATAAATGATCTAGGACGTTAGCATTGTTACATGTAGCAGCTAGCCGAAAGAAGCGAGTTTTGTGGATCGAGTGCAAAGAGAAAGAGCTCACGTGGATTCCTGAGCTGGGTGGGCAGTCCGTCCTCGCAGCGGGAGTAATGGTCCACCAGGTGTTCCAGGGACGCCAGCAGCGGACCGTCGTCTATGTGCAGGTACTGGCCCTGGAGAGAAAGGCTCCGCTGCTCGTCAGACCTCCTTGCACATGTCCTGCTAGCAAACTTGAACGATCCTCGTCGCCTTGACTTTTTTGTTTCTAACTTCGTTGTCACCAAGGAGAACAGCTGCTTCAACGGTAACGAGTACCAAAAGAAGCCAGAAAACCGAAACATAGTCGTATGAAACTAAAAGCAAAACTTGTGAAACTTGGAAATTCATCCTTCCATTTTAGATCCACTCTTTCTTGAATAAACGAGTCACTCAGACTACAAACAGCAGAAAAAGGTGTGCTAAAGGTTAACTTCTTTATTCGGTCCTGGTACAAGTGTGAAAAGTTACTCTTTGTGGCCAGACCCTGCGTGAAACAGCTATATGAGCTTTTGCTCACATGTAACAAACTTTGTCTTTGCCAACCACAGGTTTGATGATGCCCAGAATGCCTCGCACCTCACACACTCGCAAAACATCGAGGGTGTGCGCTCAATGCATTTTATGCTCCCGGTCAACATCATCCAGCTTAGTAACACGAGAACACACCAGCTGTGGCAACGCTCAAGCAAGCAGCTCCGGCGGACCAACGAAAAGCCATCGGACAAAAGGGGTCCAGGGTCCGCTGCTAGGAAGAGGCTATAATGTTTTTTAAACAATTCCTTCCGGTTACTACAAGTCGGACCTTATCGCCAAGTCGTAGACTTTCCCGCGTTTACTCGTAAGGAAAATCGGCGTTTATTTATTCTTTCGTACAGATGTTAAAAATGGAGACTGTTGGTGAAAAAACTCACGAATTGGTGCTTTCACCGATTCTGGACTGGCACGACCCACTCAAAAGAAAGAGCATAGAGCAAAAAGACCAACATCCAAGAAGGGAGGGTTTTGAAAAAAACAGTCCTTGCTTAGAGCAAAGGTTTCCAGATGTGTTTTTTTTGGTTTTCACCGACTTTGTATTGTTGACACCGGCGTTTTTCGATTAGAACCGGAAAGTCTACCGCCTATAGTAGGCGACAAGTCAAGAAGGAAGTGCAAGCTTTTCCCACCCCTTTCCACTTTAGCAGAAGGAATGCTGGAGAGGAGAAATATATATGGGCGATTTTATTGGGGATTGAGGCAATGAGGTGCAGTCATATTTTTTATTTTGCTTCAAATTTTTATATTTCGTGGTGCATGTTCCAAGAAGGACAATCTTTTTTTTTTATTTTAATGTCCTAACATGTTTGGTTTCTGTGAAAAAAAAAAAAAAATCTCAAAGAAGTGAGAAAGAACGATAAGGTTTTGACAATTGTTATGTGTGGCGTTTTTTAATCAGTCTCAATCTCAAAGTATTCAAAAGAGATTGTCTATATTTTTTTATTGTGATATATATATATATGCAAGTAGGTAAAACTACATTCCTACTCCTATTTATTATTCGTCGCTCCAATCTTTGTAAAAATCCCGAAACATGCCTCCGCGAGCAACTATGATCTAAACTGCGGATGTTTTTTGAGTCAACTATGTTTAGTATTGCTTTTAAAATAATACCATGTGTAGAACCTTTCATTACCTTCCACAATATGCAAAGATTGTATCTTTATCATGTACAAGTGCTGATAAATAAATTATGAAACAAAGATAGGTTTCACTTTTTGTTGAATTTCAGCACGCTGTATAAAAAAAACATGTTTGATTTTTTTCTTTTTCTCACGTTGCACTCTCTTTACACCCTTCTCTTAGCCAGAATACATTCCGTTAGAGGTATATGAACTGGTTTTGAGTTTTAAGCCTCTAAATATGCTAAAAAGAGCAAATGCCGTAATGGGTTTATGAGTTAAACTGACAATTGTCGTGTGTGGCGTTTTTGAATTACTCTCAATCTCAAAGTATTCAAAAGAAAGGTTCTATGTTTTTTTTTATTGTGATATATATGCAAGTAGGTAAAACTACATTCCAACTACTATTTATTATTCGTGGGTCTAATGATTGCAAAAATCCCCAAACATGCCTCTGCAACAACTGTAACCTAAACTGCAAATTGTTTTTAATTTTTTTTTTTAGTCGATTTTGTTTAGTATTGTTTTTAAAATAATACCACCTGTAGAACCTTTCATTGCCTTCCACACTGCAAAAATTTGTGTCTTAATCACTTATGAGTACTGAGAAATAAATTATGAAACAGAGAAGGTTTTCACTTTTTGTTCGATTTCAGCACACAGCTTTTTAAATTAGAGAAGCACTTTGGTAAAATGCGGTGAAGCTCGATGCGCGCACGCTGGTGAGACGCGGCATGGAGGCACGCGACAGACATGACGATCAGGTGTTCTCAGCACCCAACGAACACTTAATCAAGTGAACTATCGAATCGCCATCTTACCAACACGTGTCCAAGTAGGTTATCTCTTTTTTGTGCAAGTTAACAGAAGTTTGGCTTATGCAGTTGATTTCCTCATGCTTATTTATTTTGTATACCTCTAATAATTCCGTGGCCGTCTTATCAGCTCCTCTCCCTACGATCAAGATGTTGTCGACACAAACAAGTGCCTCAGTGCAGGGGTAGATGACCCTTTGCCGTTGATTGAAGCAACCAATGTCTCTAATGGCCCGTCTGTCCAATGCAGAGTATTACAACTCGGTGGAATCTTACACACCGCTCCTATTGCACATTTTGTTGTGCACCAAGCGCAGCACGAGCCATGCTCTCGAGCTGGTGAATGTGCCAGCAGCGTGCCATTTGCAACTCGAGTGGGCGCCATACCATTCATGATAGTTCTGTTGCAATAAATATCCACATATTTAACAACATTTCACATACTTTTTTTTTTTTGTTTCACGACGCAATAACTCCTACTCCATCCTTTATCGGCAATTCTAGGCCTAGGTAGCGCCAACTTTCGAGGCGCCACGAACACAATGGGTACCCCAAACCGTGCCACTACCTTATTTGAGTTGTGAGAAATTCAGAAACATTCCGAGAAAATTGGCACAACTTTGCCCTAAAATTGCTGATAAAGGGTGGAGTAGGAACCATTGCACCGTGACACACAGGAACCAGTATGTGGAATGTGCCATAGGCGTGGTATGCAAGATTTTGCTGTGTTGTGGGAGGGTCTACATTGGACAAAGGAGCCGGTGCATTAACGATGAAGCACGGGAGCATGACTGGTCACTTTGACCAACAGCGTGGGTTTATCTACCCCTGCATTGCGGCACTTGTTGGTGTCATCCTCTTTCCGACTCCATCACGATCGTTGGGAGAGGAGCTCATAAGGCACTCACGGAATTAATAGAGGCACACGAAATAAATAAGCACAGAGAAAACAACCGTATAAGCCAAACTTCTGTTAACTTGGACAAAAAAGAGATGACCTACTTGGACACACGTTGATGCAATGGTGATTTAATAGCTTACTTCAGTTTAGTTCATTGGGTGTTGTACAATTAATGTTTAGTTGTAAGTTCAGTGCTCATCCTGCATACTTCTTTCCCTTCTTGGCTGTTTTGTCTTCTTGGCTGTTTTTCCACAGTGATTAAAATATAGAAGACAAAAAATTGTCCCCTTCCTTCCATTTGATTTCATTTTGGCACATCTGCTTCCGTGACATTCCGGTGGTTTCAGATTTTGTACCAGGGGTACTTTGTAGTGCTTCTTCATCGAGCGGTGAATTAAATTCTGAGAAGTGGTTAGGAAGAGCCGGCTCTCCCATTGTCAACAGTGCAGCCGGAACAGCCGACATGCCAAGCGACCATCTAGCACGTATCGTGTGCATCTAATTTTGAAGCTATAAATACCCGAGCAAAGCGACACACCATGGGCGTACAACGTCTGTAGCTTGCCAAAGACATAACAAACAGCGACACTCGCTGCAGTTTCCCGTTTAGGTGGCCACTTTGAACTGTGCAAATGTAGGATGACGACTGTCAAAGGGTCGAGGAAAAAAAGTTTCATCTTCAAGATGAGAGCAGATTCGCTAGGAACCTATCTGGCCCAGAGCAGCTCACTGCGCTCACCTGCGAGTGTATTTCGAAGTGGTACACCGATGCCGGGCCGGCCAGGGAGAGCACGTAGGGGGCACCACTGCGGCGGCCACGCCTCACCAGGAAGGTGCCATCAGAGGCGCCACTCAGGAGCCGCGCCGCACACTGCGGGAGAGCGAACCTCTGTTGTCGCTTGTGCGTCCGTCCCCAAATGGCAACAAATCATGTCACAAAAACCCTCGTCATCCTGCTCATTGGCTTCGGGGATGCTGACAAAAAGCAGGAGCAAACCCGTTGTTTTAGTTGCCCCAACTCCAGGTCTGGTAAACCGCACGCAGAACAGGCGTCCGCCCCATCACGACGACATCGGGTGGAAATGGAAGGATCACTTTTTAGGACGCGGTAAACGTGCTATTTGGAGGCACATTCCAGGTACCGTACCTCCGTTGAGTGAGGGTCAAAGAAAAGAGAAGCCGCCGACGACAGTTGCAGCTGTTAGTGCCCCGTTCGCGGAAAAACCCACCTGATTGCGAAGAGAATGACGATAGGAAAAGTGCTCCACTCTTCTCCCATTCATCACCACCCCTCGCACAACCGCGTCATCTCTGGTAAGACGTTCTCTCGCTCCATTTGACACTGCCCCTGCGAGGTTCTCAAATGTTCTTTTAGAAAGAGGCATATCGACGGTGGGCTGCAGACAATAGGAGCACAAAGTGGATGCAGAGCAGCTGAGGTAGCAAGACCTGCACAGGGCATTCCTGGTCAACCACTTGGGGTACTCGTGCGGCATGTGCGACAGGTTTCTGAGATGTTTGCATAATCCAAGCGTGTACCCACTCTGATTCAAGAGTTCCCAGTCAAGACGTGTTTCAAAGTCTGCCTTGCGAAGGGGCAAAATGTCGAACCTGTCTACTCAAAGGAAATCTCCGAAAGCCGTTTCAACGACGCAACAGCTACCGCCGTCAATCGCGGCACTCTTTGTGTGTTCGCATGAACGGGGAACCACATGGATGTGGTGCCTCCATCTACCAGGTCGGCAGACGGCTGCAGTGGCAAGTCGAGTTCTTTCCTTCGCCAGAAACCTCCTTCTACACTTACGAGGGTCCATCATAAAAATATTTAGGAGCACACTCAGTAATTAGCAACAAGATTCTACACTAGATATTTCTAGGCTACCTGCCAGTACACACTTAATGTCTGTACTGGCAGGTGCACGCACCACCTTTTGTAGAGCACCATAACTACCATATAATCGCGTGTAAGGGCTGCACCCCCCCCGTATTTAAAACAAAGTATTGCAAAAAAAAAAAAAAAAATTACACAAATTATTTGCGTGTGCGACTCACCCCCTTGCTTTTGAGGCGCACCGACTGTAATGCCACATTTCTATGAATATATATTGCTAGGTGGCGCTAGCCACTGCCCGAGCACGTAGCGGCACGTGTCCGCATCCCCGATATTTGCTCTCCACTCATCCGTATCACCATATGACATCATGGCTGTCGACCTCAATCGTGGTCGGCCGCACCGTTAGGAAGCGTTTATGTTGCGGCAAGGCATTGAGAAAAGATAAAGGATACGTCAGCTTCTGTGGCAAGCGCGAGGAATGGGGATTCAGTGGGCTCGGCTCACGCGTGCAATCAGGTTTGGGGAGCTTTCCTTTTGTTCTTAGATTCCTGTCAAAGCGTTGTGATTTGTCTGCCTTTTCGCGCAAGCTGAGAGCTATGGGCAAGTACCACTTCAACAGTCATACGGGATTCAAGTTGAAAGTTGCCGCGCATGCTATCAACTACAGCAAAAAAAAAAAGATCCGTATTGCGCAGTATGTAAACTAATTAAATCCGACTGACGATTGAGTCCTGATTCCAGAGTAAAGGCGTTTCCGACCAGCGCAGCCGCTCATGTACGTTCACTTCAGAATGTGGATACAGATATTTTTTTATTTCATCCATGTATGGGCCGCACCTCGAAAATTCGCCCTCGAATCGGGAACCAAATAGTGCAGCCCTTACACGAGTTTATACGGTATGTAGCCATAGGTGGTGTTTCCCCCTCCAGGAGGCACTGCTGTCGCCGCACTATTTTGACTCGGAATGTGAGAAGTGGCTCAATGTGAATAGGTGAGACAGTGAGAATAAAGCTTTCACAGCATGTTATTGACGTTGCCTTCCGTGCACATGAGCAAGGAAGCTCGTGGTCAGAAAACACGTAGATACACCCGACCGCTTTATTTTTTCGTTGCTTCTTTTTTTTTTTTTGTGTTGAGCAGGCGACGACGGCAAACTTGCGTGTACCATTTGTTGCGCGGTTGTTTCGCACTTATATCCCTGCACGACGATCTGCGCTTGAAGATTGATTGGCCGGTACCACGAACGACAGTTCCGAAATAGCGGCCCCACGTCTGCCACAACGTTAGTTCGCCGCTTTCGCGTCGTCCAGCGCATGGTATGTCGCCATAGTGAGAATGACGTGTACATGCACTTCCTGCGATCTGTGCAACATTTTTTCTTTCAATCGACGTGTTTGCAGCTTTTTGGAGCCCACAAAAATGGGGTTCATATTCTTTTCTATTTTTAATATCGAACGTGCGCCTTAGATGGCCCGCGACTTTGAAAATATTTGGTACACATTGCTTGAACGCCACGTAACCACAGAAAAGAGAGTGAGCGCGACTGAAATTGGCCAATTCTCGACTGGCTGTTTCTAGCCGCAAATTGTGTCCCGAACAGTAGTGATCAAATACTCTGTCAAACTCATTCCACCTGTTAGAACCACAAGGGGGTGCACTCACCTCTCGGTCAACGTGCGAGGGGTGCAGCCAACAGTTCCTCGAAAGTGCCGCTGGTGGCCGCTCGAACGCTTCTGCGAGCAAACATTTTGGGCCGTGAGGCACGGGTAAGCAAAAGGGCTCTCTAGAGGCAAGCAGAAACCCAGAGTTGCTTGCAAGAGAGAAAAGGATGCTCCCTCATTTTTCAAGTGCGAGGGGTTCAAAATGAATCATTTTTTTCAATCGCTGCGCCTAGAAGACACTCTCTGCCCAGCTACAGTCCAAAAATGAGAGGAGACTGGACAACAATGCGTCTTGCGAATGGCTCCCCTCCCTTCTATTCCGTCATTCAAGCGACCTGTCCTTATGCTACTACAATGGGTTTTGTTGCCTCCTACAGTAGAGTGGCTTGCCAGTGCGACGACAGGTAAGCGTCAACCACCGACAAACTATTTAAACGAGAATGAAATAAAAGAAAATATTAAATGCACCTACTTGCAATCAAAGCGGGCAAAGGGTAAGAATAACAGAGAAGGAACTTAATACAAGCTACAGCCCAAAGCCTCCTGATCTTTGCTTGGCCAGGGGTGGCAATGTCTCCAACGTTGTCTGGGCGTCCCGGCCACCATACCGCAGAGGAGCACAGAAAGAAAACTGACTTGGGGTCGTCCATCTAACGATGGACTCGACGTATCGTCTTTGCAATCGCACAACTGGAGAGCAGCGTCTCAGACTGCTCTCGGGACTCCTTAAACTCTTTTCCTTTAAACCACTTCTATATACAACAAGTAATAGCATTTTGTAGACTCTCAGTTGACCAACAGGAAATGATCCTCTTCGCAATGATCGGCATTCTCGGTTTTAAGGGGGGACACTACCCAAAAAAGTAAATTTTTGAACCACTTGTCTGATTTAAATTATATTTACAGGGCTTGTTTCTGTTGATGTTGAGAACATTTCTGCCAATTTTTGTTAACCTGGGTGAAGTACAAAAAAAATTGCAAACGTTCAAAGACGAAAGTGGGCGTGTATGCGTAGGAAAACTATCGTTTTGAAATTAATTATAAATTTGTCGTTTTCATGTGTTACATTGCATTAGGACAGTTCAGAGCAGGTAACTATGGAGCTATATTTCTATGTTATACCATATTTCATGACAAAAAAGCACATAAACACAAATACAGTTTTTTAGATTTCCATCCTTTGTCCAAAATTTTAGTTCTTGAGCATGAAAAATGACAAAAATAAAAAATACAAGCTCATAGTTATCTTCCCCTTAAAATTTCACCCCAGAAAAACTCATAAAAATGAATCAAAGTTGCATAATAACAAAACGATAGTTTTCCTAAAGTGAAATTTATGCCAAAAAGTGGAATGGAGAAAATTGCGTTCAAAGTGCTCCAACCCCTGCCTTTTCTTTAGCATCGGAGGACCGAAAATAATTTATAAAAAATTAACTATGCAGTGTAAACTAATGAAACTTTCTGGGAATACTCTCTAGATGTTGGTGGATGTAAATATGACATTTTTCAAAATCAACTTTTTTTTGCAGAAATTGTTTTTTCTGGGTAGTGTCCCCCCTTAAGATAAAAAAAACTATAAGTCAGTTCTAACATTTTAAAAATAATGAGAATAATACATCTTGTCAGTGGTTCCAGACATAACCCTAGATCTAAAATGATCTAAAGGGTGAGTTGGTTTTACATAATGCACACTGCAGCGCAAAGGACAAGGACAAGTAAAAGACATAGACAGGACAAGCACTTGTGCTGTCTACGTCTTTTACTTGTCCTTGTCCTTTGTGCTGCATTGTGCATCATGTAACACTAGCCGCCCAACAACAGATGCCTGGCAACAAGCACCTTCTCCAGCGAGCCAACCTTTGTATCGTAACGTGCACCAAGGTCAAAAACGACCAAACCTAAAACTACAAAAACTGCGCGATTTGTGACACGCAGCCACACATGCGTGACCATGTCGTTTTTTTTTTATCGGATGGTCTTTCCCAAAACTCGCTACTGTGGCCTGTGCTTGGCTGCTCGACACACATTGTACTCGAGATGTCTCTCTTTGCGCATCTCGACATTGTGTTTGACCTACTTTGTTCGAGTGAACGAAAAGGTGCAATAAGGTCATCCCCTCTTGTGGACACTCGCAATAACATGCTTCAATTTATGTCCGCCAACAAAGGTACGCACCACTACAAGCTGCCCGAAGCAAGCGTGATTTCTATGGGACGCCTTAGAATGCTGCCAAGTGACAGTCAAATACCCTGACCAACGGCCGTTCCGGTAAAGGATTATTTTGCAAAAATTGTGTCGGGGGAAAGAAAAAGTACTCCCACATAAAAATCTGGTAGGCCGTATCGGGGACGCAGCCACAGAGGGGTATGTGTCTTGTGCGTGCTGCAGAAGGCCTAGGGTACAGAAACTTAACTTTGACTTGTGCATTACATACTTAATTTATGTCTGGTCTACGGTCTAATCGTGCAATTGCACTCGCTCCCTATGCAGATGTTGCATCGTGGTCAAAAGGGACCCCCCTGTCTTGCTGGACCCTAATTGTACAACCGTCAAATGTCTATAACAAATTACACACTTGTAAGCCCTATAACTCCCGATGAGCACCGGTTTGAGTTCGATGGATTAGACCTATTATGGCAGAGAGAGCTCTCAAATGCAACACTCCCACTCGGATCGACAAACATACTTCTGAGCTATGTCCCTGTGAACGCCGTGTGCGAAGTTGAATTTACCTCCAATTACATTGTATGTGGCGCGTCAACGGCACCATCGGCACACGCAGATGTCAATTTCCTCTACACAACGATACCGAAGTAAGGCATGCGGGTAGTACAGTTGCAAAGATATAAGCGATATTAGTGTTACCGTGTTTGCACGATTCTAACGCGCCCCCAATTCTAACGAGCAGGCAGATGTAGCTTCTAGATCATCAAAAACTAAATTGCTGCTGATTGTACCACACAGGTATAATAATGAAGATTGAACAGATGCCTCATAGAACAAACTTTATGAAACGCACGCCAACACAAAAATAAATGCCGTGCACTACTCGCTGTTGTCAGAGTCCGACGATTGTTCTGCACTGTCCACAGAAGTAATACTTGCTTTCGAAGTGCCGCGCTTCTTGCGCATGTACAGTTGGCAGCAAAAGATTGTGGGGCGCAGGAGCGTCAACCGAAATGATTGGTTGCGCCTTGTGAAGGCGCACGGCCGCTCTCAAGATTCACGCTTCGAGAATGTGCCTCTTTTCGTGCTCGCAGTCGTGTCTTTTTGACTCACATCGCCCGACGTGCACAAGATAACCGGGACCGGCGCAAGGTGCTGCTTTGTCAGCCATCATCAACGTTGGCCATCGTGCTGTGCGTCTGCCTCGACCACCGTGATAAGTGACGGAGCTCGCGCATGCTACAGTTAACATTTCGCGGCACCTTGCACCAGTCCCGGTTATCTCGCGGCCATTGAATGGAAGCGAGCGAAAAAAACATGACAGCGAACAAGAAAGGAAGCGCATGCGCAAAGCGTTTGTCGTGAGAGCGGTCGTGCGCTGTCCAAAGGCCCAGCCAGCCAGTCTTTTCGAATGGCACTCCAGTGCCCCGCAAACTTTTGCTGCCGACTGTACGTACGAGTGAGCAACCGCCGCCTCTGACAGGATTGTCTTTCAAACACTTTTCGAGCTCGTCGGGTGGCTGGGATTGCAAGGCCAAGCAGTGTTGCTCCATTGTTATGTTTTTCCGCAAACGTGATGGCCTTTCGTTTAAATAAAACCTCCCAGTGGAATATTTTTTTTTTTTTTTTCATTTTAAAACGGAAGACATGAGTCCGTAGACGCGGGAGAATGCGCACGATACGGATACCAAAATGGCGAATATAAACAAATGGTCAAAATGGCAATGGGGCTAGACACCTATACTGAGCATAGCGTTTTTCTTGAGTTTCGATTTTTGTTTTCGATGTACCAAACACGGTACATCTTTTTGCGATATGCGGTTTTAGTGTGAGACCGCATACTGACCAAAATAAGAGACGGCCAAAAAACAATGCGAAAGATTTAGTTTTGCAATGCTTCTACTTTCTCCGAATTTTTGAGTGAAACCTGGGCAACGCGTGATACTTTCCTTCTCCAGGGTGGGGGTCTCTCACTTGATCTTGGTCACCAGCATCACTTGACTCTGCAGGGGATGACTTATCACCATGCCAAGGAGAGACATAATTGCCCTCATCACTAAGATCGTCTTCACTCTCAACAAAATCACGCAATGCGTTTCCATAAAACGCGCATGGCAAAAACAAAGTCACGTTTTGTCGCGCGAGTGAAATTCAAAGCGTGCTCGAGTCTTCCACTCGTGAACACTTTTGATTTCTGCGAGAGAAGTTGAGACAAAAACGAGAATAAAGTGACCTTTTGACACAATGCAATCCAGTAAGAAAGAGTTGCAGTTCAAACGAGCATGGGAAAGGCGTGCCAGGCAACACCCGACATCTGACGTCGGCCATCGCCCAACTTGTCACTGCGAAGGGTTAATGTCCCTTCCATCTCTCTACATTAAGCGATTGGCTACTCAGCTCACCATGCTGGTTGCGGTAAGGGTGGCCCACCCCGATCAGCCAATCAGATAATAACATTTGATGGGAACCATGCGGCAGGGGTATTGGAGAGGATTTTTTCCAAAAAATAAATTATGCGTAAACTGCTGGTAATCACTGAACCACAAGCTCTGTTTAAACATTTTCAGCACCTCTGTATACACTGTCTCATCACATCACGATTATCTGCGGTACCGCAGAATGTGGGGTACTCTCACAAAGCGATCTAAATCCTACTGACCCAGAAGCTTGGCACAGTGAATGTGGTTTCCCTGCAATGCCAGGTCGCCAGGAAGCTCCATCTGAAGGGTGCGAGGGCGACTGGGGGCACCGTGTTCCAGCAGCAGCTGCACTTGCGGGAAACAAGTACAATGACGCACAAGTAACCAGGAGAAAGGGATGCGAGGTAAACTAGAGTCGCCCGTACATACTTAGAAAACCCCGAGACAGGAAAAAAAAAAACCAGGACGTCTCAAAACACAGTCGTTAACTTTTTCTTCCTTCAATACATTGAGTTGTGAGTTTGCACTTGTCTCTTCTCTCTCCCGTGTTCCTTTCTATTTGTGCGCAATTTTAACCATGTTCAATTGTTACCAACACGCTTACACAGCCGTGTTATCAGACGTCCTTGTGTTTCCCCCCGTCTCAGGGTTTTACAATTATGATCATTCACCAGCTAGCCTGAGCCACTGCCCTTATTTCACAACTATATTCGGTGACAGGTTAAAGGGACACTAACAATCCCCCAAAATGTTTTTTTGATTTTTTTGCCAGGTGTCAGCAGACTACCCGATCAATATTTTGCTGCAGTCACATATACCTTTAATAAAGCCAAAAAACTCAACTGCTCCAAATCGAAACACAAGCACGGAAGCTCATGGCAGGAAAACACATGGCTACACCCGACCTCATTTTTTTTTTCTCCTTTTTTTTTTTTGCGTTTGTGAAGCATACGATGACAACGACGAACTTGCATGTACCACTTGTCGTGCGATTGTTTTGCACTTATAGCCCTTCCTCTCAATGTTCTGCGCTTCAAAAGTGATTGGCCGATACCATTGACAGTTCCGAAGTAACGGCCCCACGTCTGTCGCAATGTTGGTCCGTCGTGCGTCACCATTGCGTCGTCCAGTCCACGGGATGTCGCCATACTGAGGATGACGTGTACACATACTTCCTGTGATATGTGCAACATGATGTTTTTTTTCAGTCAATGTACAGTAATCCCTTATTACGAAATTATTTTCTTCTCATTATCGCTTTTATCGAAACTCATTGTGGTCCCGACTGAAAGTTCACATTCGAAGTGTATCGGCAGACGACCACGCTCATACATCCAGCAAATATGGTCCTTCTGTAGACTTAAACTGAGGTTCAAAAGCTGCAATTGTCCATCTCTTGGCTCCTCTTGCGTGTATTTTAAGCCACTACAGCATGACCCAAACGCCTCCAACACCTCCATCACGTCACTAGTTAGTGTGCCAGCCTGTTCACTCAGAATGAGGAAATCATCTATACATCCAAAGGCTTTGAACCTGTTGGAGTCCCGCAGTGTTTTTTAGATGGCTCTTTCGCTGACACTTAGAAAAATGCTTCACAAAACAGGCACCACGCAAGAGCCAATGCAGATGCCCCCCTTTTGCACAGGAAGATCCCCCTCAAAAAAAAAAGTGGGCTTTAAGTAAAAAGTTAAAAGCTCAAGAAAGTGTTCGACACTAATACCCTAGAAACGGAAGAATACTGTTATATCCTGAGATGCTTGAGGGGAATTAATTGAGGCAAGTGTGCTCCTAGATATAGACTTTGAAGACTTCTTTAAGGGGCGACGCGGGTCTTAAAGGGCTACTATGGCAATTATCTTAGCTAGCCTAACTAACTATATTTCCGAAATCACCAGTCCCTTTCTAGTATGCTAATTAGTAAAGCCCTTTCTAGTATGCTAATTAGTAAATCGAAATTCAGAATAATTACTGTGAAATTGGCAAGTGAAATTTATCCCAAAACCAACATTCAAATATATCCGCCCTCTTCAGAACCGTGACATCAGTGGAAAGCAGGCTTGCAGGTTGAGCCAACAGTCTAAAAATGGACTATATGGAGCATTTGTTTCGTGCTGTTGCTGGAGCTAGCTTCCAAAGCATTCATTCAACATCATGAAACTGCTTGTAATCAGTTGGGAACAAAGCCTACAGTCCAAAAAGGAAGCCAGCTGGGCATGAGGCGTGTTTTTTTCATCATCAGAGAGCCGACCGTACCAGTGGCGCCCACCATGTCTTTGATCGACAGGGTGCTCAAGCTGCTCAGTTACAAGTTCTAGCACAAGCTGGGAAATATCAAGGTTTGCTTTCGAGAAGACCGCCGGCCGGCCAACACCGTCGCCAACCCCTGAAGCTCCATCACGGGGCTGCTGGACTTTTTGCGTCACCGGAAATTCGACCGGATTGTGTGCATGCTGGCCAAGCAAGGAGCCCTCGCCAGGCCCGACGCTCTTCACCCTCTTCATCATCCCATTGTCATAATCCATATGATTCATTTGTACAATACCATTTTTGTCATTAGAAGCATCACGGCAGGCCTTCAAGGTATGGGCAATTTGCCTTTCTCTCCTGAGCTGAAATAAATATATCATATCATATCACCCTGCCTTCCACTGACGTCACTTATCCATTGTTCCCAGTAGAGACTTTCACTTTCAAAAACACGGTGAGGAAACAGTCCGTAAAAGGCGAGGAACTGTAATAAAGTTTATGAATAAATGATAAGCGTAAGAGGTACCTTCTTGTATGAAGAGATGATAAGTTAAGTCAATGTTTTAAACTGCTTACACTTGTGAATCAGGAGTAGTTGCAAGCTATAAATCTAGCAGCTTTGCTTTGAAAAGATTCAATCTTATCTGCCAGATATGTTTGATAAGGGTGCCAGATGACTGATGCATAATCAAGCTGAGACCTGACAAGAGCAAACTACTGGCAAGAAGTTTTGTATCTCAATTTGCTTAAAACAGTGTTAGTTTGAGAAAGCCAAGAGTTTGTGACGCCTTGTCAGCAAAGTGTTCAATGCGAAGGTTCCACATTAACTCCAATGAGAGATGAACATTAAAATAGTTAAGGAATGACACATTTTCAACGGCGTCACTACCAATGAAGTACTTGTGAGGGGTGAGATGTCGTTTTGAAGTGAAGGTCATAGCTTTTGTTTTATGTGTATTTACTTACATCAGTCAGGTGTCACACCAATTTAAAACTGGGTCTAAGTCATCTTGTAAAACTGTACTATTGTGACAGTCCATAACGGGACGGTAGATGATGCAATTATCCGCGAAAAGACAAGCGCAAGATTTGATGTTAGAGTGAAGATCATTGATGTACATAAGAAAAAGCACTGAATCCAGTACAGACCCCTACAGAACACCTGACATCACGGGTGGAGGGGAAGAGATGCCACTCACAACTGATTGGCGTCTGTTAAGGCCCGTTCACACTCTTGCGACCGAGTACGACCGAGAGAGACCAGACCGGTTTTTAAGCCTCTTGCGACCTCTTAGGACCAGCTCCGCTGCAGCGGAGCTGGTCCTAAGAAGTCGCTAGAGGCTTAAAAACCGGTTTGGTCTCTCTCGGTCGTACTCGGTCGCAAGAGTGTGAACGGCGCTTTAGTCAAAAAGCTTTTAATCCATTTAACAACACCTGTGGATGTTGTTAAATAAATGGATTCACGAAAGCGATCAAACGCTTTCGTGAACTCAATAAAAATGGCACTGACATGTCTGGACAGGTGAACAGATTGATGAAGGTCATTTAACAACTCAAACGTCTCGCATAAATGTCTACGCAGAAGGCCCCGTGCTGGTTAATAAAAAGCAGTTGATTGGTAGTTAGGTGGGTCGTGATTTATGACAATATGATGTGTTCTAGAAGTTTACATGAGGTGAGTGAGATGGGTCTGTAGTTGTCAAATGAAATTTTATGCCCCATGTTAAAGGGGCCCTGCAATCATATTTAAGCGTCTAACTTTTTTGTAGTTTCCACGTCTCTTGAAGTTCAGGCAAGCCAGCAGGCACGGAGAGAATAACTAAATATCAGTGCGTCATATTTTAACCGGACGACGCGGAAACCTCCTCCACCGACGAGGGCGACTTGCGGTACCGAAAGCGCGCAAAAAGTGACGTCTTTGGTCCTGGGCTTACTACTGGTCAGAGCAGCTAAAAGCTTTCTTTTTAGTCAAGATACAAAATATCAGCAACGCAAACTGTTTAAATTATGTATGAAAGTAGTTTTTGTTCAGTATTTTAGATCAAAAAAGAAACAAATGCAGTTTATAAAGTACGGAAACAAGAAATGACCCATCGACATACTCGCCACCAAGCGGAGGAAAAAAACGGCGCATACTAGAAAGAACTAGTGGGATGAGGCTATGACGAACGGATGTACGCGGCAGCGCTGTGGTCGTATGCCGGCTCGAGGATCCGACCGGTTCCGAGCGTTCCGAAAACCTTCGGCGCGGGCCCTGCTGGCGATTTGGCCATTTGGCGGTACGTCAGCGTGAAGTGGCTCCCGTTCTGAACTGATCTTTACCACATGTTTGCTGTCATTTGTGGCCAATGAAGTCTTATGCCGAATCAGTCTTTAATCGCGTAGCAAATGCAATGCGAGCTGCCCTGGCCGCCCGCTTCATAGAGCCTATCCAACACATGCTTTAGCGGCGCCCTCTCGAGCCGTTAACACGGAGTGCGGCAACCGTGAGCGCTTGATGAGTTCACTACCCCCCCTCTAGCTCACAGCCACTCAAGCCAGGACCTACGACGTCAGAAAGGAGGTTATTTTTTGCTTGTTTTTGTCATTCTAATTCGCCCATAACTTTTAAAATAAAGCGAAATTTGAGAAAAGAAAAGTTTGGTTAAGTTACTACGTTCAGTAAGCTCAGGTTCGGTGCAAATTAAAAACCGGTCAAAAAGTCATTGCAGGGCCCCTTTAAGTATAGGAAAACATGGGCATATATTTCCAATCATCTGGTAATTTGATTATGGAGAGCGATTGTTGAAGAGGGATTCTCACCTGCATTTTCAATCTCTTTTCATGCGGAATTAGTTAGCAAAAAATAAAGTTGAAATAAACTTTCTTTCCGCAAAATTATTTTAAATCGTTTACTGTAGACGACTTACATTTTTCGCGGGCTCAATGTTTCGCGATTTAGGTCAAAGTTGAACTTATGGAATAATTCACAGGTTCTAATTTTCGCGGTGTGGTGGGATCTCAATACAGATTCCAATATGTTTACATTTTACGGGAATGGTTCGTGGGACCTATTTTTCGCGAATTTAGCCGATTCACGAAAATTAAGTTGTTTACAGTATTTTGGTTTTCACTTTTTGTTTAAAGGAGAAAACCTCTACTGGTAAGATTAAAAAAGTGGTGACAGATGTGGGTATGAGTCCACTGTCTGGGCAGTGAAGCTTCTTCCTAAATGACGACAAGTTTGAAGGTTGAAATGAATGCTGTGGAAGTTGCAAAGTATTCGCTTTGGAGCTCCCAAAAAGTACAGTCCATTTTCTAGGCTGCCCGAGCAATGCGCAAGTCTGCCGGCCAGTGGCCTCACGACAGTGGGAAGCGTGGGAAAATTTAAATGACGGTTTTGGCACTGCCTTCATTTGCAGTTTACTCAGTAGTTTTTCAGGATGTACAGTGTCAAAATGGGCAAGCTGGTTTGCTGTAAAAAAAGGCAAAAGAGTGAGCAAAGAACAAAGAAGGGAAATACAAAATTAAACGAGAGAAGTGTTGGCAGAACACTTCTATTCTCTGTCTCTATTCTCTGTCTGTTTTTATGACACAGAGACAGTAAACAGTTTGCAGTTGCATTTCTATCCATCCAGCATATGCAGAACTGCATTTTATAAAGAACACAATGGACGTCCAGTCTCAGCCTCCCCTGTCACATCCCGACTTTTCCAACTGTCACCATTGTTCACAAAAGCTTCTGGCGGCTCTCCGAGTCTTTTCAAACGGTGGCCTCCTTTCCTGCCCCTTCCTTTCTTTGTTTCATAAACTCTGGTATGCTCCGTTGAGCTCCGTGACGAGCGCTTGAGGCGCTTATGAAACCCAGCTTCTGTAAGAATGCGATGTGCTTCCAGTAGGCGCATGCGTACAGCCTCTCCCCTGGCCTCACCAACATTGTGGGCATCCACCTTGGTGCATATTTCGCCTCTTTTACAGCGGAGCTGTTACGGGTAACGGGCTAATTTCCCCAGGATCATGTCCCCTGCAAAGAAATGTTGACACAAAACTCTGGACAGCTACCGCCATCTACGAGCGATGGCGGCAACCACACAACCGGTTTACCGGCCTTGCTCATAGATGGCGGCAACCTCTCCAGCCTTTCCACTCTGGTTTTCACCAGAGTGGAAAGGCTGAATTTCAGTAGGCGTCATCCTAGATGTCGTCCTAGAAGTCATCCTTGAGGTCGTCCTTGATGTCCAAGAAGTTGTCCTCGAGGTCGTCCTAGAAGTCACCATTGAGGTCGTCCCAGAGGTCATCCTAGAAGTCACCCTTGAGGTCACCCCAGACATTGTCCTTGAGGTTTTCCTAGACGTCGTACTTGAGGTTTTCCTAGACGTTGTCCTCGAGGTCATCCTAGAATTCGTCCCTCAGGTCCTCCTAAATGTCGTCCTTGAGGTTATCCTAGACGTCGTCCCTGAGGTCGCCTTAAACATCATCCTTGAGGTCATCCTAGAAGTCGCCCTTGAGGTCGTCCTAGATGCCGTCCTCTAGGCATCGTTCTTGAGGCCGTAAAAGAAGTCGTCCTTGAGGTCGTCCCACCATAGTACAGCTTCGCTGGTCTTCCTTCTTTACCAGAGTGAAAAGGCTGAAACTTTTTTTTTTAGCATCAGTAGTACGAGAAACAATAAAAACCAATAGGCAATGCTAATCTGTTCCGGCGAGCACATTAAGACAACCTCCCAGACACTCGCGACTGCTTCCCTTTTCGGTCCTCTTACAGTAGTGTCATCTGTCGGGCATTTCTTTCTTGTAAACCCTTTGAGAATGTCATAAATGGCCATTTGATCTAGAGCAGGGGTTTCAAACACGCGGCCTGCGATTTGCTGGGACACGGCTCGCAGACGACCGGCTACGAGCCCCGGTTTCCATGTCTTGAGCGCTAGAAAGGGCATGCGCCATCGTGACCTCATCTCACCAATTCATTTTCACTCAAAAAGCTGCTCCGCTCTTTTACCACATTCATTTAGATTTACTTGTCTGTGGTCATTTGCCCTTTGCTCCGCTTAATCTTTTGCTTCCTAGCTTTTTGTAATGTACAATAATTCCGCGTTTAGGCTGCAAGTTCGAGCTTTTTGTTTGAAGGATGCATCACGGCTGCGGGAACTCTTGATCAGCAGGAGCAACTGCTGAGAATCAAGCTACGAGCTCGGGACTCTCGCCTTAAAAAAATTATCACCATTAAAAGACAAGTATGGGTGTTGTAATCGAAATCGCCAGGAAAGCAAGAACTGCCAAATAACTGCTTGTTTCTTAGAGACATGTTGAGCTTGGTTAATTCCTGAGTGCATTGAGCAATGGGAACGACAGTGTACTTGCTCTCTTGTTCTATTGAAAATGCAAGCACGTTGGCGGGGCGGTGTCATTTTAATTATTGGTATCACATTAGGTGATGGCCCAAAGTAGTCATATAAACAAATCAAATCTAAAAATGTCACTGGCAAAACTGTGCTTACAAAAAGCATAGAACACAAGGTCTCTTCTCTTTTAAATCTTTTGACACCCCCCCCCCTCCCCCCCCTCCCCCGTCTAACTTTGGCCCTGAGCCTTCTCAGTGTTGGGTATCTGGCCCCCACTCTCAAATAAGTTTGAAACCACTGATCTAGAGAGTAAAACCTCTAGTGAAGTGCAACTCATTGGGGGTCCTTACCGCGACCAGGTCCAGGTGCCCCCTGGCGGCAGCCACGTGCAGCGGCACCCAGCCGTTGTCTGTGTCCCGAGCCTGGGGGCTGGCCCCGGCTTGGAGCAGCTGCAGGGCGAGGTCGGGGTCCCCCTGCTCACAGGCGTACTGCAAGTGGGGACGCTTGGGTCATGCCCCTCCAATGTTCCCACCATCCAAAGTGGTCCCAACAAAACCTCCAAAGTCCTAACGGGACCTATAAGGGGCCCGCCGCTCCAGCAACCGGTTGGCAGTGCCACCGGCAATGGCATCCACATTATGCCACATAGCCAAATTGGTTAGGCACATCCTGCTCCATCCTATTCTAATGTACCAGCCGGGCCCACCAGATGAAACCCACCAGGATTTTCATCTGGTGGGTTTCTGGAAAACTTGATCACTGATATGTGGCGAGCCCGGAAGGAGAAGGTTTAGGAAAGCTACGCAAATTTTTTACAGCGGAGCTGTTAAGGGCTGGTTTCCCCAGGATCGTGTCCGCTAGCAAAGGAATGTAGACACAACACTCTGGACAGCTACCACCATCTATGAGTGACGGCGGCAAGCAGACAACTGGCTTGCCGGTTGTCTGGTTGCCACTGTCGCTCATAGATCGCGGCAAACTTTCCACTCTGGCTTGCCGACGTGCGTCCGGCCATTACTTCATTCCCACCATAGTACAGCTTCACTGGTCTTCCTTCTTCACCAGAGTGGAAAAGCCGAAAGTTTTTTTATTTTCCTTGCTACTGAATTCAGGTGATTCCGCTACATCTGTCGCCCTTTCAGAGAGGCTCCTTCACTTAAAACCGTTTCATTGTTTCAATGTTGTTCTTACAAATGATGCAGTGTGTCCTCAAAGAGAGTGCTCCACTACACTTTGAGAACTCTTCTTGTGCAAAGAACTCTTTCGCAAATTATTTGGAGAAAATGCGCAAGTATGAAAAAGTGGGGATGCCAGGTCAAAGTGGCGAGTGTCTAGGTGAACCTTGTGCACTCTAAACGACTGTGAATTCCTTTTGGCAGGTACGCTCCAGAGTCGGTGAACTTTGGTACCTTCTCCCATGCAAGCGACATGTGGAGCTACGGCATCACACTGTGGGAGATGTACTCTTTGGGAGAGCTGCCCTACAAGGATCTCACGGGGGTGCAGGTACTGTTGCTTTTCCCCATCGACACGCGCACATGCACGCCTGCACAATGCACACCCTCTCAGGAGTACACCATCTGTACGAACCAGTACACACATCCACAACATGGGTGAAGAGGTTCCCTTTGGGGTGCTTTCCCTAAACAACTTCTCGCAGACCACGACAAAAGCTGAGGGTATTTTTAAAGCGCAGCTCTTAGGCACCCATCTGTGGGTTGAGCGGCGGCGCCGTTGGCATCAACGTAACCGCGCGTGTTGCATTATGGGACATTTTCCCGCTAAATTCAGCGGGGAAATTGGTGTCCCGTGACCTCAACACCAATGCAGTTTCTTGACTAAATTTAGCGGGGAAAATTACGTCACGACTTCGTGTCACGTCACCCATGAACAAATTCTGCGACAGGAGGAGAGGAGGAGGGAAGGGTGTGGAGGAGGGGGCATACCCTCCCCTCTGTACCCTCCCCTCGTCCTCACCAAGAGCTGCGCTCTTGTTTCGCATTAGAGATTTCTAAACGTCTTTCATTTTTGAATATTTTTTCGGTTGTACACGGCAGGCGTGGGCAACTTAGAACCTTGCCGGTCTTTTGTTAGAAGTTTGAACCCATCGCGACGTTTCCCTTCCTTTTGAACTTTGGCACATGATTTTGTTCACTGTTGCTTGCCATTTTCATTTTTTCGTCCTTTTCGATATGCGGGTTTGGTCGCAAAAAAGGACGATCGGGTGTTTTTTTTCTTTTTCTTTTTTACCAAGATGCTTATATTTGGTAACAGGTTAAGGGAAGTGGAAGCACCTGTTAGAACTTCAGATTGAGTGAGTTGATTGTTCATGTAGATCAACATTGCAGCACACTCAAAAAACTGTCCCTCAAGCTTTCACACACACAAAGGACAAAACTCTCACAGAGCACTCATTAACAACTTTGTATTATGTGATTAAATTCTACTTCTGCTTCAATTTGAGACAATTTAAAAAAAGAAAAGACATAAAATAAAAATACAAGAAATTTCCTTTTGACGCTTAGGGAAACTTGCAGCCAAATAATCAATCTCTTTTTTTTGACAATATTTTAGACGGGGCACTAACACATTTGTCCTCCAGTCGTACGATGTTCTCGGCTTCGATAATTTCCCTCGTAAATTGGTTGACACTTTTGCCTAACACAGTGTTGTTCTTGGAATGTGCCACACACCTGCAATCTTGACAGTGTATTCCTAAGTGGTCAGAGTTTGCGTTGACCATGTTGTCGCTGTGTTCACGAAGGCGGTCATTAAGACGCCGCCAATTCGTCCTACGTATTGTCTTCCGCAGGAAAGGGGGAGCAGCAGATTGGAGCAGCAGATCGCTTGATTTGAGGGTGTATATACCAACATTCACTCTGTTCGCTGTTTTCTTAAAGGGGCCCTCCAAAGCGTTCGGCGATGGTCTATTTATGGCGGTAACTCAATCTACAGGCCCTAAGGATCCTAAAAATCATAAAATTACGGTCATGCACGGCGGATTTCCCTATTAAAATTGCTATCAAAGACCCCGGCATGCCCCCCTTTCTGGGAAGACCCCGAAAAACGGGAGGGGCATCTCTTTACGCGTCAGCCAGTAGCAAGCGAAGGATTCCGGCGTCACTGCGCGTCACCAAAGCGGCCGACTGCCGACCCGCGGAGGAATCTCTCGAACACGCGCGGACCGTCGTCAAGGAGCCCGGACTTTGTGCTCGGCAGTCGTCGTTCGTCGCACCGCACCGTCGCGCTGCTACTGCGATACGCAGTCGCATTCCACAGATGACAAGGAAAAGTTTGACTCGTTGACATGGAAGGATCGCAAAGCTGGCTTCGGAGTCGGGATCCACGGGAAGAAGGAACACGTGTCCCGCAAACGCACGCCTGCAGACGCCCCGGGAAGCAGACGAGCCGACGCGCCGACGCATCGCCCCCTAGCAACAAGCTTGCGGGGAGAAAACATAGTTCGCTGGTTTTGGAGCGATAATTGTGGACTATGTTTCCCGCACCACAATCAGTTTACGTTTTTCTCAAACTCTAATTTACAACAAGCTTAAAAGTGTTGCAATAATAACGTTCGCATTGACCGCGAGATGCAGCATTTCCATTGGTCAAGTTTTAGCGATGGGCAGGGAATGGGGGATTGTCTTCCAAGAGAAAATAGTCCCGATATATTTCTTCTGCCACCTGCTTAATAAACGGTTTTGTAATCTAAAACTTTGTATCCATATTAACTTGCACCTACTACGCAATATAAAAACATAAACAGACGATCGCAGAAAGTTCCGGAGGGCCCCTTTAAGCCGTGAGAAAAATTGTAGATGTACGGGACTGTGATGTGCACGAGGGACACCATGTAGTATTTTGAAGTGATGCGCCGGAATCCGTGCAAGCAAGCCCTGTGGCCCAGGCAGGGGGTATAGAAGAAGAAGAGGAGTGTGGAAAGACAACGGCCAGTGTTGGTTGGCAGAGCAGCGTTCGGAAAATCGATGGTCACGGCGGTTCCAAATTAGTCCGAATTACCTAGTCCAAATTATTCCAAATTAGTAAAAAGGGGTATTGCTTCGTCTTGTCTCCAGGCAGCACTTCAGAAGTCATACCACCATGTTATGCGTGACAGCTTCAGCCTGCGGGTTAATCCCGCAGGCTGAAGATGCCTGCGGAGACTTAGACTTAGAGATGCCGGTTATCCAACTTCACTTTTGCTTGGAGTTGCCGAGACGCTGCTAAAGAAGATCAAGGGCAAGTGTTAGGGTATAAAAGAAAAAACATAAACGAGACCTCAGGTCATCCCCTACTTGCACAAAATTGCACGTAACTTAAAAAAGGTGGCAAAAAGATTTGATGGGCCGCTTGTGTTTACGGCGCCATGTAAGTTGGCCCAATTATGCCCGCGGATTCAGGAAAAAAAAAAGATTGACGTGCACTTATGCACCGTCAATCATGCCAAAAGATTTGTAGATTATAACGTGGGCATGGTGTACAGAATACCGCTGACATGCGGTAAGGTGCACATCGGCCAGACAGGACGGTGCGTAATGAGAGGATGCGCGACCATGACCTGTCTTTGCGCTCAACAACTGGAGGACACTGGCCTCTTCATTGCAGAGACTGTACATGCCAGCCCAGCTTTTAAAATACCACAATCGGGGGGGGGGGGGGGGGGGGGGGGGGGGCCAGAAAAATACTGCGAGGGAAGTGCTTGAAGCTCGTGCTATAAAGGAAGAGGGCACTGAAGGCTGCGTCAGCCAGCCATCAATTTTTCTGCCCCAAAAAGAGAGTGATTGTATTGACGCGTGGTGAGGAGTGATGCCACTGAGTGATTCAGTATATTTTTATCGGAGGTTGTTTGCTTTAGCTGTTTTTGAATAAATGTTCAGTTGACAGTAAGTGCTCATCCTGTTCACCTTCCTTTTTGTCCTTGTCTTTGTTAGCGCTTTTAAATTTTATAAAAATTTACATTTTGTATACTTCGGTTGCATGTAAATAACAAATGATTTTTGGGTCACTGCCGCATTTATTTTGACAAAATGAAGATATTTAAGTAAATTTTGCTTACTTTCTATTGCACCTTTTTTGCATTCCTTATAAATGCCACAATGACCCAACATGCCATTCGACGATTTGGCACAAAAAGGTTTAGCATGAATTTGTTCATAGACGAAAAAAAACATCTTCAGTTTTTTGTTGTTTTGTTTACTCGATGTATTTCTATTCAATGAATTCACCCCCTTCCCCCTACTTTATTTTCACGGCAAATGTTGTATCAAGCCGTCGGGCAGAAATGTCTTTTTTTTTAAATATAATGAGATAAAACAGTGCAAAAACTTTCAGCCTTTCCACTCTGGTGAAGAGGGAAGACCAGCGAAGCTGTACTATGGTCAGACAACCTCAGGGACGACATCTAGATGACCTCAAGGACGAAGCCTGAACGACCTCATGTCACATTCAATTGGGGCGCACCACACCGCACCGCACTGCACCGACGGAC